TTTAAATACGGTTATGTCTTATGTGATAGATTTTCGCCACTATAAAATTGGTCCATAATTCTTTTAGTTTTTGGGTATGAAAAATAAAGGCTTTCTCCAACAAATCTATCCGAAAATGACTTCTTTTTTTTTTTAAATGACTCATATTTAGCTTTTAGTCTTGTCCACTAAACAAGTGCACACAAAAAAAAAGATTTCCACTAAACATGTTTTCTTTCAATTTATGTATCAGCTGATGAACATTGTTATGCAGTCTATGCCAGTGAATATTAACATTTTTGAAAATTTACTGACACGAAATGATGTTAATGATGATGACATCCGAACCAAATCAAATCTCAACAAGACAACAAGCAGAAAGGAAAGATATGGATGATAAAAAGAGAATCAACTACTTTCAAAAATGTGAATGGTATTCTGGCTCTTTAAGTCTGAAAAATATTCTGATACTTTCTTTTTAAGGTCAAACCTTTTTATATCCAAAAGAGGTGATATCTATAGATGTAACATATAGGTAATTTTCCTATTTTGGATTTTTAAAGAAAAAAAATTAAAGTTACATTTCTAAAAGAACAAAAAAAGTCAAGGAGAACTTGCCCCTACCAGAAGGAATAAGCATCAATTCAAAGGACCATATAATTTAAGAATGCTCAGGAACCACATGACTTCATGCATATTTTTACATAGTTTAGACCCAACTAAGAAAACTAAAATGACACAACCGAGAGCATATATAAAGCTTAATAAATCTCCAAAATTTTCCACAAAATATATGAAAGTATTTCTTGTTACCAAAAATCCTTACATGTTTTAAGACTATATAAACTATTAACACATTTTTATCCAATCCCAAAATCAGAAACACACCTCGTTAATTTATTATTTTTTACATCAAGTCTAGCATATGGTCTAATCCTTTTTACTATATCACATACTCACATACACTTTAAAGATCCATATCATCTTTAAAACCAGCTCAATGATGAGAAAGTTATCTTTCTTTGAGCTTTTTTTTTGCTAACTTGTAAATAGTATATTAATGATGAAAAGGTTTTACAATAGCAGAATCTTTAAGTTTGTTTCACCTTGGCAAAAAGAAGATAAAAACAAGGTGGAACAATGGGAACCAGAATTATGAAACACTCAACGCAACCAAATAGACATAGGAGATTTGAAATGCTTCATGTGTCTCTTTGCTGAAATAGTGTTCCGGGTTTCCTTATCTATCCCATCTAAAGACCAATGAAAGTGGGATAGAGTTGGTGTTATGGATTACATACTTTCTGCGTGCTGCGTCGCCATTGTGTCTTTAAACCTATTTCATTCAATATTTCGTTATTCCATTTCTCTTAATACTTTCTTGGACTCTTGTTTTTTCATATCATTTAATTATTATCATCACATACATCCGTATACAATATGTGATTTGAACAGTTTTTGCCTTTTGGTCTTACGCCTATTATATTATTCACTTGTTTATGCCTCTAACATCGCACACTGCCCAATACAATATGGTAAAGATCCGCTAACAAACGAAAGTAATGTCTAGATTTTTCTGACCTTTCGAGCCATTATGTCTTCCTCAAACTTCCCTGATCCTAAGATATAAATAGCAAATTCTACGAATTGGTTCTTCTGACCCTCCACATCAAAGACTGGCAACCTTTCAAACTATGTATGTCAGAGTTTTTAATGAAGTATGAACAAACTATATAACTATGTAAGTGCAAAGATGACACCACAATTAAGTACTGCAGAAGATAAACCAAAAGACAAAATAGATACAAGCAAACACTATGCTTTATTAGAAATCATCTTTAAACAATCTATTACAAGATCTGCTTATCAGCTTTACACAGCCTGTTAACAACCTAACAGCTGCTACTGAAAGATTTCTAATCTACCCAAACTTGTCTCTCCATCGTCAGTACCTCAACAACTGCTTCGGCACGACCCAAGAACACCGTAAGGGATTTTCACCCTTCCTCTATAATAAAAGCCCCAAGTGTCTTATGGAATACACACGACTCCATAGCTCTTTTATAGTGATCTCCACGTCCTGAAACCCTAGTCTCCAAGGCAACATGGATATATGGACAACTTCCATATTAATAAGTACACTTTCCTTTTCTTGGATTTGTACTTATTCCTCAAGGCATAAACTTNTGCTCCTCAAGTTTATCCCACGCCAGCTCAGCATCTTGCATCCACATGGTCTCTACCACTCCGCATGCCTCCTGGTTCACTCTCTGACACACGCTGCATCAGCAACTACTTCAACGACTACGTCAAGACATAAACCTCTAGTTTATTCTTCTCCATCTCAGCATATCCTGCATCCACATGGTAACCCACCACTCCGCATGCCTTATGTAGTAACGACTAATGCCTCCAGCATCAGTGACTTCGTCGCCTAGTTAGTTACGGAAGACCATTGACATCTACAAGCTCCACTTGCATCGTCAATCTCCCCCTTTTAGCTTTGTGTGCCAATCAAGCACAATACTCTTCTGGTTCAATAACCACGTTTCCTCACCTGGAAACTTCCACACTCGATATGCCATTCTCCCCCACGAGACTTGCACTATCTTCATCTTCACACATAGATATGCTCTTCTCCCCCACGAGATATGCACCATCTACATCAGAACGTCCATCACCATGCTCTTCTCCCCCCACGAGATATGCACTCCTTGGACCAGAACGTCATCACTTCTCCCCCTGCTTGATTGCATACTAAGCTAAAACATAGATGCTTAGATGTCAAGCCTTCTTTCACAGACACACCGCCTGCTCCTTCATGCGTACTGCATCAGCCTCTGACGCATCCGCCGAACTACTTCTCGAACAGCTCATTGCCTTGTCTTGGCTCCTTCGACTGGACTTCTTCCCCTCTGCTGTGACCACCGTAGGCTCCTCCCATGCAGTCTTCACAGCTATCCACGCACCCTCATTGATTCCTCGAACCAACAACTTCATGCGCGCCTTCTCATGACCAAACTGGCCATCAACCAACAAGATTGTCTTCTGCAAACAACCGTGTACATCTTCACCTTCAGGATCACACCAGTAACTTAGGTGACCCGCTCTGATACCAATTGTAAGTGCAAAGATGACACCACAATTAAGTACTGCAGAAGATAAACCAAGAGACAAAATAGATACAAGCAAACACTATGCTTTATTAGAAATCATCTTTAAACAATCTATTACAAGATCTGCTTATCAGCTTTACACAGCCTGTTAACAACCTAACAGCTGCTACTGAAAGATTTCTAATCTACCCAAACTTGTCTCTCCATCGTCAGTACCTCAACAACTGCTTCGGCACGACCCAAGAACACCCTAAGGGATTTTCACCCTTCCTCTATAATAAAAGCCCCAAGTGTCTTATGGAATACACACGACTCCATAGCTCTTTTATAGTGATCTCCACGTCCTGAAACCCTAGTCTCCAAGGCAACATGGATATATGGACAACTTCCATATTAATAAGTACACTTTCCTTTTCTAGGATTTGTACTTATTCCTCAAGGCATAAACTTGCTCCTCAAGTTTATCTCTTGCCTTTTCTCCACGGTATAAACTTGCTCCTCAAGTTTATCCCACGCCAGCTCAGCATCTTGCATCCACATGGTCTCTACCACTCCGCATGCCTCCTGGTTCACTCTCTGACACACGCTGCATCAGCAACTACTTCAACGACTACGTCNTGCTCCTCAAGTTTATCCCACGCCAGCTCAGCATCTTGCATCCACATGGTCTCTACCACTCCGCATGCCTCCTGGTTCACTCTCTGACACACGCTGCATCAGCAACTACTTCAACGACTACGTCAAGACATAAACCTCTAGTTTATTCTTCTCCATCTCAGCATATCCTGCATCCACATGGTAACCCACCACTCCGCATACCTTATGTAGTAACGACTAATGCCTCCAACATCAGTGACTTCGTCGCCTAGTTAGTTATGGAAGACCATTGACATCTACAAGCTCCACTTGCATCTTCAAACTATGTCGTAGCAGATTCTGCATTGCTCATACTAGGCTTTCCAATTCTAGACTGAGCGCTCACAAGTCCTTTTGGATTCCCGAAACCCTAATAAATCGAGCACACCAACTTGGAACTCTTAAACCCAGCCGACTCTACTAGTCTATATAGTACATTAGAAAAACTATTTCCTGTTATGTTTAGTGTATTTAACGATCTATATATATATATATACCATACATCATCATATTCAAACTTAGCCAATAATTTATTCAAATCCATTTCCAAACAATCTGAACACAACTATTTTAAGATGATTGAGGAAACCACATCTAAATCGCATTATAAATCCATGCATCGACCTAGACGAAACTAAAAGCGTACACGTTGTTGGATTAAAAGAACTTTATTTCTACAATGTGGAGACACTTAACAAACAATAAGATTTTCGTAATGACAAGAAATGGTCCATTATAAGGAACATATTCCAGTGATGGAGAATACAAAGTTGACCATATTTAGCCCATGCAGAAAGAAGATATCATTTTAGAAATCAATAAGCATATATTCTTTCTCAATGGTTATAAAAAGATAGCAGACATGTGAGGAATGAGTACACACATATAGAGAGTGGTGAAGTGTATAAAGAGGAAGAGAGGTCTAACATGGCGAAAAGAGTCCTGTTTAGTAGCCAAGGATGACTTGCCTGCTCTTTTTCACCTCCATGATTCAACTTTACGTTGAAGGATTTTGAATTATTATGCAGTCAACATGTATAATAATTTTAAAATCATGTTGAATCTTTGTGGGTTAGGTTTCAGGCAGTCTCCTTGGCTATTTTGACATACTTTTTTCATCCATGTTATACCTATTTTCTTTCTATTTTTCGAATCCACATAATTTTATTATTAAATTACTAAAGATTACTCGTTTGATCAATCTCTGATGAAGCGTTATTCTAAGATACATTATATACTTTATAATATATGGTGGTGAGTGTATGCATTGTTTAGAGGGAGATGTCAAAGATGAATAGGAGAATCCTATTTGGTAGCCAAGGATGACTTGCCTACTTCTTTAATTACGAAGTAAAATGGTCACGGTATCATGTTTGAGAATATCAATTAGTGACCATTTTGCGTAGAAAAAGATATTAGGCAGTCTCCTTGGCTATCCTCATATGTTCTTCTTTCTCATCCCAGACAATTACCCTCATCCATATAAGAAGACACGACATGAAAAAATCAGGGAACGATAATGTTGCTGACATTATATTGTATATATATATATATTTTATACATCACTATTATATATGATGTAATACACCATATATACACACACATATACCTATAATTATTTTTTAAACAAAGAAATGACAGAAAATAAGATGAACATATAATTATTATCCAAAAGGTTATTGAAAATAAGCTTTTGAGATACATTTCAATAAGCTTTTGAGACACTAAATGTTTTTATAAAAGGTCACTGGAATTGAAATTTCATGTGACGACTACAGAATTTGACATTGGTTTGACTTTGGTCTAAAACAACTTATGGTTACCAAGAATATATATTGCAATGTCTTCTTAAGAAAAACTAACTAAAATTGAGTTACAGTAATGAAAGATTTTCAATCAAATCCTCTTCGAATATTGAAAGCTCGCATTTTACAGTAATGAAAGATTTCTATCATCTAGTCTGATTTTCCGGTTGTTACATGGTATTTCAAAGTAAAGAAATTAAAAACGTGTTTGTCCAATCTAATTAAGAGAAATTTGCGCTCCTACCAAAGAAGTTTGCCATAATTTGCAAAATACCAAAGAGAAAAAAGACACATTACTGTACACAAACAAAATAACTCTATTATCCTTTTTTGAATTCTCCTTTCACCTGACCAACTCCAGCGGGCAGCCACATGTTTCGACGGAAGAGTAAGAGATACACAAGATATTCTATATCTTTAATGTCAGTACCTTTCTTTCTCTTTCATCTTTCATTTTTCATCTTTATTTATTTAGTGTTTACATCATCAAAATTTTAGTATCTGGTTAATCAATATATAGATATGCGACGTATTTTGTTAGCCGGCTATACTATTCTTTTTATTTAGAATGCCATATTTTTGTACTCCCATAGGTGTTTAAAAAATATTTTTCAATTTAAATAAGAAAGTTTACGTAGTTTGACAACATATTAGACATGAAACATAGTTGGATTACTCGGAAACATAATTTCTTAACTTATTTTTTATAATGTTTACATTAACAAAGTTTTTGTATCTGGTTAATCCATCTAATAGATGTGCAACATATATTAGTTAGCCAGCTAAACTATTTTTTTCACGTAAATTTAAATCGTAGCCGGTCAAGTGGCCGAAGCTATCCTATATTTATATGTTGGGGGTATTGGACGAGTACTAAGGATTTAGCATTTACCGTATAGATTTATTTAACGGTTTAGTGTTGAGTTTTTAGGATATAGAGATATGCAAGGATTTAGCCGCGTATTAAATATATTACTCAGATATTTGTACTTCTAGCCGGCTAAGTGGCTAACGAAATTATATATGACTAACAATATCTTAGGTAATTTATAATATTAGCTTGCTACAATAACTATTAGCCGAGTGTTATATATATTACTTATATATTTTTCATGCTAGCCGGCCAAGTCGCTGACGATATTGTATATGACTAACAATATCTTAGGTAATTTATAATATTATCATGCTACAATAACTATTAGCCACATGTTATATATATTACTAATATATTTATCATGCTAGCCGGCCAAGTGGTTGACGATAATTTATACTCATCTGTAAGTGATCTTCGATTAAGTACAGAGTTCAGGGTTTGTGGTTAGAGATTAGGGTTAAGGTTTAGAGTTTAGGGTTTATAGATATCCAAGGGTTTAGAGGTATGCTAGGGTTTATGGTTTAGAGATATGCAAGAGTTTAGGATTTAAGGTTTATGATTTAGGATTTAGGATTCGAGATTTACTCATATATTTGCCATGCTAGTCGGACAAATGGTTGGTTGACGATATTGTATACTCATCTGGAAGTGATCTTGGATTAAGTTGTTAGGGTTCACGGTTTTTCCCTTTCTCTCTAGTTTAATGCTTGAACCTTAAATGACTAACAGTTTGTATCTAAGGTAATTATTAATATTTTCGTGTTACAATAAATTTTAGACGTATACTAAAACAATTACTTGTATATTTGTCTTGTTAGCTAGTTAAGTGGTCGACGATATTATATGGATCAGTCATGGAGATTTCTGTAAATAGAGTTAATTAAAAGATTTAGTGTTTCGTGTATAGGTTTAACAGTATAGAGTTAATTAAAGGATGCAACTTCTGCTAATGTAAATGAAATCTCTATTAAATCTTATCAAATCTATCAAAGATTTTTTGTCATAGATAATATAAATGAGATCTCTATTTTATCTTACCAAATCTTTCAAAGTTTTTTTGTCAGAGATAAATATCCAAAGACCAAATCCAGTCAGCTGAAATGTCAAGTGGATAGGATATTTTGGTCATTTTCACAGCAGTTTTTTTGCCACGTACACTTCTCCTTTCCCCGTTTTGGTAATCTCCTAATTTCATAATCTTTCTTTGGTTTCTAGCTAAATTGCTCTCTAATTAATTGCATGTATGTGGTGGTAGTGGTACCAAAAACACATTGTATAAAAATAAATGATCGAGTAAGTATACTTTGGTTATCGAGCTGCGAATACTCGTCTAGGCCCATGTGTTTGATGGATTTGTTCACTGTTATATTTGCTACGCAATAGAGAGAGATCATTAACCCAATAAACCTTTGTTTCTTTCTTTCAACACGTACCAAAAAGTGACATAGAACAATAACGCTTTACCACATGTTGAAGTATGATTAGCCAAGTGGCGGCAGATCTTCTCCCCTATAAAAGCTTTAGATTATTGTCTATCGTTTCCTTGATCTCGAGTCTAAAATTCTCCTCAGACCAAACAACAAGTTTTTCCTTCTTCCTCAGATCAAAAAATGAGCTACGAGAAGGTCCCGCCCCAAACGTATCCTCCTCCAGGTTTGTAATATCGTTATCCTCTTCTACTTCTCTAGTAACAACGAAATCTTGTGATCTTATAAAATCGATTCTATCCTTTCTCGTGGTGATCAAATCGGTTAGGTTACCAATCTCAGTATCCTCCACCTCCGGTATATCCTCCGTCACACCACCACGAAGGATATCCTCAACAGCCACATGGATATCCATCGTATCCACCACCAAAACCTCCTTCCCGTCCTCCTTACGAAGGCGCCTATCAGGAGTATTTCTCCGGAGGCTTTCCTCCTCATCCTCCTCCTCCGCCTCCACCGCAGCAATATAACCATTGCCATCATGATCATCACTATTACCAGGACTCCAACTCTGGTTGCACCTCTTTCCTCCGTGGCTGGTTCGTCTCTCCCATCTCCTCCTTTCATTAATTTTTTTTGCTTAGATCACTGTTTGGTTACTTACTATACGTCTTTTAGGAGTGATTTTACGTGTTAACAACTCTTTTTGAACTAAATGAGCATTTACCATAAGATACCTTTTGATGTGTTTTAGAGTTTGTAACTGTGATATTGCTTTATGTTATGTTCATTTTATGTTTCGTTACAATGACTCAGTTAACCAACTTGTTTTTTTGTTGTGTGTCAGTTTTGCTGCTCTCTGTTGCTGCTGTCTGTTAGACGATTGCTTCGTCTAAGATTGGAGAGTTTTACTCAATTTTCATTATAAAAACTTATATGATTTGGTCTATGTTTCTTTCTCTTAAGCTGTCAATGTGTACTTAAAAAGACCACTGCATTGGGTGTTGGAATGAGCTTACAAAGCCATGGTACCGATGGAAGCCATAGGTTAATGGCATTCATTTATAGTTTGTGTGATTTATTTGAAGACAAAGAAGCTTGAGTATTGATAACGACTTTAATCTACACCATAAAACGTTTAAAAGTTTAGCAAACAATATAATCGTAATAAGTTGATCACCTATACTATACTCTTAGTACAAATTAGATTAAAGAAATCTGCTCATTCTGAACCATAATTACTTAGTCTAGTTGTGTTATGTACATCTTTTTCTTCTTTGTTTGTGAAAGGTAAGAAAACTAGTTTAATCTAAGCTAGCAAACTTATGGAAAAAATCTGGTGTATCCTTGCCTCTACCAAATTAGATCCAGACTAGCGGCGAAATTTTACCTTACGATCAGCAAAATTTGAAACTCTAACACCGTTGTGGGGTCGAAACTCCCTTCATATCATTAGGCCGTCTTTGCTTGAAAGTAAACCTAATTTCAATGTTGGGAAGGTGGCGTTTTGTGATGAAAAAATCTGTATTCACCTTCGGTTCAGTGAACCGATTGATTAAATTACTACAGATATTCACTAATAAAACAGATCGATGAACCGGTTCTGCTAGTCCACGTGAAAGCAAAATCTAAGAGCATGTTTAATGGAGGTTGCTTAGAGAGTTGCTTAAGAGGAGATGAGTGTTTAATTTGAAGAGAGAGTGTTGCTTAGGAAGAGAGAAGTTGCTTAATTAAGCACTTTTCACACTCTCTCTCTTCAAATTAAGCACCCCTCTCCTCCTAAGCAACTCTCTAAGCAACATGCATTAAACATGCTCTAAATACACTAAGGCCCAAATCATGTGTCTGTCATATCCATGTATGGAATATTTATCTATAGCAGTGATGCGTTACCGAAACAGACCCAATAAGCAATAAGACCCAAAGCATGCATCATCATCACATGTCTGAAATACTCAGTATAACCTCTATAAATTAATACTCGATAAATTAATAATTTCTATAAAATAATAAATTTCACCGGTCTCAATTTAGGCCGGTGTAAAATATGACACAAATCGATAAAATAATAAGATAATAATATTTATAAAAATGCCATGTAAATGGATAGTCCCATTAAAATCATAAATTAATAATCTATCTATATATAGTTTTATATAAGTACAACTTAACATTATATTGTTGGTTTTATATTTACAATAAAAATACTAATATATTGATAATATTTAGTTAAATTATATCGAAAACCACATAACAATTCTATAAAACATAAGAATACACACCAAATAAGATAATAAAAATATATAAACGTCAAATTTCTAATATTTAAATAATGTACCTCTGCGAAAATCAAATATTTTTTTGAGTTTATAAATAAAAATGAAAAACAGAAAAAAAATCTGAATAAGGAAACTTTTGGTAAATTAATATCTCTATAAATTAATAAAATTTTAAAGTCCCAACATTATTAATTTATAGAGGTTTTACTGTATTTTAACTATAGCACTGATGCCTCATTATATCACATGTCCGAATTATTTTTAATATATATATCCGTGCGAGAATATATATTTTCAATCCAAGATTGATTTAAAAACTAAACATATTTTTATTTCAAATCTTAACAATTAATTTTATATTTTTAGCATTTAGTGTGATATTTGTTCAAAATTATTTTTTAAATGATATGTGTGGTTTAATAGTGTATATATATATATTGAAGAACAATACATTCTCATTATTAAAATATAGTAACGATATATCGATTTTTAACTGAAAATAAGTTTCTCTTATCATATACTTGTATCAAAGTTTTAAATAACAATTAAACTATTTCATCCCTTTTCAATTTAGAAACTACTATTATTTTTTATATGTTCTTTCAAAGCATGAATATTTTCATTTTATAAAATTGTGTATGAACTTAAAATTTTGTTTTATCATAGTGTTTGATTTTCAAGTAGTGTTTTTATATCAAACTCGTGGTCGAATCGGTAGATCTGATGCCTTGTATATCTAGTTTGAATTTAATGAATTTTTTTGTGAATTAAAGCCTGATAGAATATGGTATCTAAAATCCCATTATTAACCAACTGGATGTAATTTTTATAACAAATAATTTGAACTTAACAAAATTTAAAAGAAACAAACATGTGTCCTGAAATAAATGAAACTGATTTCTTAGAAAATGATATATCATGTGGTCAAATTTGATGCAATCCGATGGGTTGTATATAGTCATATTGCTGTAATACGTTATTATATATTGTCATTTAATTATTTTTAAAGAATAAACAGTTGTGGCTAAAGCTGCTTTTCTACTGATTTGTGTATAATAAAAATATCGTTTGCGTATATATAATTTTAATGAAATTTATGTGTATAATAATAAATAATAACCATTAAATATTGTTTTATGGATTATATTAAGATTAAATTTAATTTGCATCTAATAAAATGTTTTCTCAAATGTTACTAATAAATTTTCATATTTAAAAATTTAATTAATGAATGATCTTAATTATTATGACTCCAATTCATGGTTTGTTTGGGTTGTATTTATAATTATACGTCCAAAACCAAAAGACTAAGACATTATTAGTGATCATTAAATGACAAAAAAAGTTATGAATGATCATGTTTTAATATTATATATTTGTTGATATATATTACATGTTTTTTTTTCCTATTTTCTCAGTTTTTCACTTTTACAAACTTTAATTATAATGAAATTATATCCTATGTAGTTATACTCTTTAAATTTTATATTTCATTGACTAATTATTTTGCTATGTTTTCCTTTTTACTGTTTTTTAATTTCTTATTTACTTCTTTTCTTATAACTTTCTTTTTATACTTTTTAGTATTTTTTTTTTGTTAAATTGCAATCTATTTTACTTATTTTTTTCAATAAAATTTCAGTTTAGTTAAAAAAATCTATTTACACATGTTTAAGTTTACAAATAAAATTATTGTCAAAACGATAGCATTAATTTTAAAATAATGACCAAGACAAAAGATATCAGTAATCTTAACCTTTGCGTATTAAAATAAAATTATCATGTATTGTGAAAAGGAGAGAATATTGTATGTAACGGTTGATTCTGTTTTATGTGCATGAACAGAATTAGCAAGTTGATAAGAAAAAATGAAAAAGAATGGAACTAGCAAGCACAGGTTGACAAATAGTGGGAATTTGTTTTCACATATATAAATAAAACGATATAAATTATCTGTTTTCGAAAACGTTCAAGGAAAACGTTTCTCAAAAAAATTATAATACTATTATGTATATGTAACGCTTATTTTCGTACGCCTTTGCGTGTAGTTTATGAATTATGAAAGGAACTAGTAAAAAGCACTAATTGACAAACTAATGGGAAGAATCCATCGAGTCATTAACTCACAAAGTGCGTAAAGGAAGGAAAGATGGATTCTGTTATTAGGTTTACGGAAGGGACATGCATGGTTGCCACTTGTCCATGCATCTTCTTCACAAAAATACGTATTCAACTTCACTCAGGTACGTAGCTTCCCTCCAATACTCACTATTATCCCCAACAAAATATCCGTATGTATTCAAAAACCCACAAAACTCGTATAGTAATAGGAGTAATACATATATAAGTGTATTCAATATATTACTATACATACCCACAAAAACTCGTATATATACTTGTGTATATTCAAATTATTAATTAATTTATAAATATAAGAATAACTTATCAATCAATATTTAAAAAATTAAAATAAAATATTTGCTTTAAATAAGTTAATGAATAAATATTAATGTTAGTTTTATAAACAAGTTATTTATCTATTCGATAAGCTAAAACGACAAATAAACCGAATGACAACAAAATCTTACAATTTGTCGTGATCGATAATATATAATAATAGATTAACGGATGTATTTAACTAACAGAATATTTTCGTATTTTTTTGTCGGTACCTTCTAGATGAATTGTACGGCACCGACAATTTTTTGTTTTCGTCGTTAATCGTAAATCAGAATAACGGTTTATTCTTTTCCCAAAATGTAGGTAAATCGTAAATCATAATAACGATTTATTCCTTTCCGAAAATATAAAAGTTGGAACTGGTATAAAAAAATTAAGAAATCGTATTCGATTCTTGGAAAATCTATAACTACAATGTGCTCTTGAATCTTTTTTATTTTATTAGTTTTTTCTGTTAAACCATTTTGATGTCGCTTAAAAAATTTAAACAAATTTAAAGAATTCTATTTCAAGTTTAATATTTTTTTTCTAAAAAGGCTTTTTGTAAGATAAATCACTATAACTATAGATTATTTAAAATGAAAACGGATTATAGATGTAAAGTCATATTATGTACTTAGTTATGTTATGAATCTATGATTATGTGCTTTCAGCAACAACAAAAATTATTTGGTCGATGAAGATCAATTCTGTTCTATGTGCTACATGTTTTTTTCCTGAACTACATGATTAATTGTATTATTTAAGATTAAGTCTTTACCAATTAGGAAAGAAGTTTGGTCTGGAATGGGTATGTTATATAATCTATGATCTAGATTCCTGTTTGATGTCAAAATCTATATCAAGTAAGGAAGCATAATGTGACCTTCCAAAGGAACTAGCTATATATATAGTCACAGCGTCACGTGTTGCTTGTACTTGTATCTATACTGGCTCACGTTTTTTTTCCTTGATAGATCGTATACACTAATTACACATACGAAAATACGCAAATTAACAAATCACATATTGACCACTAAGTAATAAAAGTAAATACAATGTTGACAAAAAGTCTAAAACTATAGTTTCAATGTTCTAGAGAGAGAGAAAACGAGGAGAGAGAAGGGAAGAAATAATACGCCATTGAATTCTGGAAAAGAGGGAGAAACAGAACTTTTGCAACATCTGTTCAACATTCACCTTCCACTCGTCTCCTTCCTCTTGGTCACTCCTAACTTAACCTCTCTTCAAAACTATGGTTGAGTTTATCTATAATGAACGTTCGTTTAGTGTCAGTAGATCTTGCTCTCAACGTTACTATCATCATAATCTTTTTATCAATCTCTTACTCGTAAACCCTAGATCATGAATGTGAGTTATACAAATGTCACAACTCTTACCATAAATAGAAGATAAAATAAATAAAAATCAAAAACTTTGTGTTAGGAAAACCAAAAACTCTGATTGCCTAGCGTCCTTATAAGCCACTGCTTCGATCTGCACAAACACAACAATACACACAAAGCCTCTCTCTCTCTCTCTATCTATCTTCTCTCTCTTTCTCCATCACTGAAACCCAAAGCCTATCCACCATTTGTTCTTTTTTTAACTTCCTTTTTACTAGGCAGTTTTTATCAACCAATTGAGTTAAAAAAAAGAAAGAAGTGATGGAGGAAGGTGGTTATGCTCATGATGTGGAAACCAAGGTCTCTGCTCTAATGGCAAGTGTTGATCATCTTCCAATGTTTGGATCTGGGTCTGGTCATCATGATAATAGGTACTTATCGGCGTATGTGCCTCTTCTTGGTGTTAACTGGAAGAAGAGAAGGATGCCTAGGCAGAGACGCTCGTCTTCTTCCTTTAACCTTCTCTCCTTTCCTACTTTGCCTCCCTCTTCCCACGTGCCGACTCCTCTTCCCGCACGTGTAAGCTCCTCTTGTTTTTTTTTCCTTTTACAGTAATTTTTCACCTCACTCACTCTCAATATTATTATTATTATTATTATTATATATTTTTATAAGAGTCTTCTCAATATTATTATTAGCTAAATTTTATGATTCTCTTTAGATCCGTGTGGATCTTAATAAAATTATTAGATTTTGTGTATATGATCTATGTAAATTTCCATTTGAGTGATCTTTTGGAAAGATTTGTGATGATGTTAGCAAAAAAAAAATATTGTGATAATGACAGAAAATAGACACAGGAAAGCTAAGATTCCTATTCCAAAAGGAATTGAAGAACAGTGATGTCAGCTCCCTCCGCCGAATGATACTCCCCAAGGTACCACCAATATCTCTGATTATGATCATAATGATAATATATGATTATAATGATGATGGTTGCTGCAGAGAGCAGCGGAGGCTCACTTGCCAGCGTTGGAATACAAGGAAGGGATACCTTTAGATATGGAAGATTTGGATGGTGTTCACGTTTGGACCTTCAAGTACAGGTATACAACTTTTTTCTTTGTAACCGATCATTTTACTATAAAGTCTAATCAACTATTCTACGTCATATATTATTGAATTTGTTACAGCACGAATCTATCTAAAGATATTTAACCTATATCTATGCAAGTCTCCATGTATGGTCTCTTATAAATACTACTAGCACTAGGAATTTTGAGTTTGTCATTTAATTTAATTTAGGATGACCTCAGTAATCTCTTAACATGAAACTTGATCTTGAGTCTTTGCTGATGCTGTGTGATCTTTAGGTTCTGGCCTAACAACAATAGCAGAATGTACGTGCTCGAAAACACAGGTGAACTTGCTTGTAACCTGGAAGTATTAATCAGATTTCTGTTTTTATTTATATTCAGAATGTTTATGTTCCGTTGATTATAGATTAAATCATTCTGAACATACTCGGGTTTTACTCTCAGGGGACTTTGTGAATGCTCATGGTGTGCAGCCGGGTGACTTCATCATGTTCTACCGATATATTGACTCTTACGAATACGTATGTAACACGTTACTATTTACTAATTAATCATCCAAAATCTCACGTCACATATATGTGCACTTAATTTTTTTATATATTCATTTCAGGTGATACAAGCAAAAAAGGCGTACGAAGAAGAAGACATAATTAACGTGGACGAAGATGACGTTTACACAAACTTAACAAGGATTGAAAACACTGTGGTTAACGATCTTCCACTCCAAGATTATAATCAACATTACAACAACAACAACAACAACAACGGAAAGTGTTCTCACGTTTACCCCATCTTCGATGACGTCACCACTCAAACCACCACCGGGCCTTTCGTCTACGACACGACGGCTCTCAGCTCTAACGACACTCCTCTCGATTATTTGGGTGGGCTCGCGACGACATCATCGACTAATAGTTATTACTCCGACTTCGGATCATTCGAGGGTTTTGGCTCAGTCGAGAATATCTCCCTCGATGACTTCTAGTAAAATCGGATTCATCGATGGTGATCAACCTCCTTTACTAAAAAGTACATTTTCATATCATCAAGTCTTATATTTTATAAGTGTTTTATATTACAGAAGCATGAATATCATATGAGAGTCGTGGAAGTGTGTTTGTATTTGATGAATAAATGTAATTATGTGTCGGGCTTTAACTTATTAAGCCCTTGCCCGGCATAGAAAACAAAACAAATTAAGTTATATCATATATTGGGAATTTGTATTTCTTTTATTGTAATGTGTAAGCCCGTTGTATAATATGAACTGGTATTTTAATTTCTTGATATTAACTCTAACCTTGATAATGTTTTCATTTTATACATTAGCTTGAACAAATAATTTTGCGGTAGACTTCTACAACATTTGCTATCGTTATTAAAACTGTGCAGCGGTGATTTATGATGGATTACGAATGATACAAAATTTGTTGTAAATATGTTGCAAAAATACAATGAATTTCATATAAATTAGACTGTATATAGTAAATTTGAATTTATCTTATTATTAAAATCATCGTTTAAATGAATATATTTTTGAAGTGAAAATATTATAATAAAATACATGTTATATAATTTTTTTTTTTAATATTTATATGTATTTCAGGATAGGGAAAGTCATTGCAGCATTTAAGCTATTTGATGATTTATGGATATAGTATATCACATTCAAAACAACGGTTTTCTTTTCCCACATAAATGTATTTATACCTGATGAGTAAGATATATAAAACAAGGCTGTGCATGGATAGAAGCTGATCAAGCATTGCTTGAGGGCCTGTAAGATTAAAAATAATTTTGGGGCTAAAATCATTAAAGATCAATAAATTCTGATAGTTAGACTTGACTCCTACTCTATTAAAATAGAGTCATTCATTTTATCTACTGTTACAAGTTGTCATTTAAATTTGGACTCTTTTTAGAATGTTACAAATAATATAAGTCATATAATTGATTGAACCGTATTACTTAAATTAAGCCAACAAAATTAATGTAAAAAACGACATTAATGTAAACTACCTTCAAAATACGTCAGATATCTATATGTATACCAAAAACACATATTTTCTCCTACAAATATAGAATGTTCTAAAAGAATACATATCATCAAAATATAGAATATGGAAATCTACTAATTAATATTAAATTAAACCAGTGGTTATTTATGTAATATAGTTTTGGACTTACTTTTATTTTTTGAACAAATTATATAGTTTTGTTTTTGGGCTTAGTATTAAGAAAAAACTCCAAAACATTGAATAAACTTTTCACCTTAAAAGATCAAAAAATCAATTATTATTTTCAGACCCAAGGTATTTAATATTTTTAACTAAACAAAATTATCCATTATTAATCATTTATTTAAATCATGTACTTTAAAACATGTTAATATATTTTTTTTATTTTAAATAACAATCACTTTGTTTTGATAATTTCAAAGGTAACTTTTAAATAATTTATTGTTTTATTTTTCTTAAATAATTTACTGATTAAAAAAATGTAAAGCAAAACCAAAAACCAAATCTAAAAACTAAAATCCAAAACAAAAAGCTGAAAACACATATTATATTTTTTTGCTTTGTTTATTTACAAAATAGACTATTTCAATTTATTTTTTTTTAAATTGTTTTCATCTTTTCAGTTTTAAATTAGATGTTCGATTATTTGAGATTTGTTTGTTGGTAATATTTGTTCAAACTAACTCAGCGGGTTTAAAAATTAAAAACCCAAACCAAAAACTGAAAATGAAAAGTAGAAACTTAAAAACTAAAAACCAAAATCCAAAATCTAAAAATAAAAACTGAAACTAAAAACTAATGAAAAACAATCATCACCACAAATTTTGGTGAACTGATTTTATATCAAAATATTATTTAAATTATGAGAAAACCCAATTATATAAATTTTTAATCATAAAAAATTTCCGCGCTTTTAAGCGCGGGTCAAAATCTAGTTGTGTTTAAGGTCCACTCCCTATTTTGTTGTATAGAAGCTGATCAAGCACTGGTTTGTTTTTTTAATTGTTTGTAGGGCCAATTTTTTTTTGTCTCTTCTAACCTTATATATGTCAGGCATGACCCTATACATATATACTATAGCAACTGTTCATCTACTTCCAAAACAACTATAGTTGGAACATGGAACTACCATACACACTCACTCAAATATATATGTCGTATACACACACTCATACAGGGCCGTGCCCAATCAAACAAAGACATGGCACTTGCTCTATATAGCACTTGATATTAGGCCTATTTTCCTTCCAAATTTTTAATATACTTTTGGTTAGTATAAAACATAAATATATATTTTAGTGTTATTTTCTAAATTTAAATTTTAATCTGAAAATATTAACTAAATCATATTAGAAATATCTTCATATATATAACTTATAACGTCTATTTTAAATTGATATAAAATTACTCCTTTGTTTCCTTTAGGCCTCTTGCAGCCTAGACAAGTCACTCTATATATATACATTGTCATTATCACATGTTTATCCCTAAGTAAAAATCCTAGTTAAGACTATGTAGATTTTTTTAAATAATTTATTTTAATATTCCATAATATGCATGGGCATTCGGGATCGCGTCAGATCGGTTGATTCAAAATTTCAAAATTTTGATCATAAATTTCATTCAGACCGAATACGATTTGGTTTTTTCTCAGGTTTGGTTCGGATCATATGGTAACTAGTGTTTAAAATCACCAAAAATATTTTTTAAATAAAAAATTTTGGCAAAATTACTCAAAATTTATAAATTATTTATAATTTTAATTAAAAACTAGTCAAACTATCTAAACTAACTAATATTATTCAAAAAATATAAAAATAAAAATAAAATGCTTTAAAATACTTCAAAACATCTAACTTACCTTAATATAGATGTTTTTTTAACATATCTAATGGATTTCAGTTGTATTCAAACCCCAAAATACAAATTCTTAAATTGGTTAATTATGCATTACAAACTATGAAAAATATTATATAGACGATATTATAGCCGACAATTCTACCTGTCTTATGCGGATTCACGTCTGACTGCATCTTAGCCGTTCTATGAAATCTATTTCTAACGGTATGCTTTGTGTCATGCTGAAGATTTCTTGTAAACCTTTTCTCTAATAATCCTGCATAATTTGCCATTCACCTTTTTCAGGAAACCCTTTTGATGTAGAAATTGTGTAGCATGAGATTCGAACCTTAGATCTGGTGTAGAAGTCTTTAAACCTTAAACACTAGGGTACGGTTCTTCTACTAATATGTCCGATTAAAATTTTTTTTTTTAATTTTCAATTAGATATTAATATAAAATAATGAAATTAATATAAAAATAAAATTTAGTTAAATTACTATAAAATAAGATATCATATATTAAAATTAAAGAAAAATATCGAGAATCTTACACAATATTGTGGGTTAAGTTAGTACATTGAACTATGGGCCTATATCAAATGTAGCCCAAACAACAAAAAAACCCCAACCTATAGTCAGCGGCTGCTGCTGGCTGTTTAACGGTTTTCACAATAGTTTGATGTGACAAACCTAGAACCTATGAGATAATGTTGCCCTAAGTGAGACATAAGAGCATGAACAACGCACAAGAGTGCTTATTTTTTCTTTTTTTTCTTTTTTCGTTTTAAAAAAAAAAAAAAAAAATTAAAAGTACACCAATTGCGGATCGCCACGTGGCATGGGGCCCACGAAACAGTACAAGCTCTGCTGCTTATACAAGCTATTTTGGCTGCGATGCTTGTTCTCTTTCCTTCTTTTTGTGGTCCCCCCTTGCTAAGCTCCCCTCCTAAGTATCTGCATTGAACCTGCTCTAAGTAATGGAGTAGCTTGATAATCTAGAAAGCGATTAAAACTCCAAAGAGAAGCTAACTCCATAATGCCAACCATATCATATCGATAATTATTCTTAACCAGATTTCATTAACAATATTGGAATAAAATTACATTAAGGGAAAGGGAGATTAAGAGACTTGAAACAAGTAAATCCACCATCAACAACAAGGTTATGCCCCGTCACAAACTTAGCATCATCAGATGCCAAATACAAAGCTGCTTTGGCCACATCTCTCTCTTCACACTTCTCTCCCTTTAACTCTCCCGTCGCGTTCACAATCGCTAAAATCTGTTCCTCCGGAATGTTGTGACCGGCAAACGCTTCTCGAAACATCCTTAGCGTTAGAGGCGTTGGGATGCTTGCAGGCGATATACAATTAATCCTTAAACCGTGTTTGCACAGCTCACCAGCAACCGTCTTGACCACACCCGGTATTGTGAATTTAGATATAGAGTATGCATGTGGGCCCAAACCGCCCATCAAGCCGCTGATGCTAGAGAGGCAAAGGATGGAGCCTGAGCCAGCGGGGATCATGGCTCGTGTCGCATGCTTTATTCCTAAGATGGTGCCTCGTACGTTGAGACGCATTACTTTGTCGTATATGTCCATGTCTATGTCGGCTATGCTTGGTGGTGATATGGAACCTGCATTATATAAGATATGTCTGAATGAATAAGTAACATTCTGATCCACCTCGATCGTTAAGATGTACCGAACGACCAGCATTTTTTTTGCTAGCTGAATAATGTCACAAATCTGACGTAAGATTTGTAACGAAATTGTCTGATTACTAATACACCAGCAAATTGAAGATATTTGATTAGCGACTAAGTTATGATAAAATAAATGGTTGATTTCTGTCGAATTTCTATTCTATCTATTCTATTAAAAAATTTCCGTCAAAATCTAGTGTTATTTTATTTCTTTCTATCGTAAAATACGAAAACAAATTTTGTCCCATAAAGAAAAACCTATTAAAAACATTGTTTTTTGTACTATAGTAGAGCTTCTATAAATTAATACTCGATAAATTAATATACACTAAATATTTCTATGAAATAATATAATTTTATAGTCTTAAATTGAGTTTTTGGTTCAATTAGTATATCGATAAATTAATAAAAAAATGAAATTTTGGTTTATCTCCAACATTATTAATTTATAGAGGTTTCCTTGTATATATTTTGCTGATTCTTATACAAAACGAGATATTTTGAGATTATAATACTTCCTATTTTTTTTTAAACAAAGAGGTATTTTTATTAGAAACATTTCTTACACGATATTCCGGCGCTATTGAGCATTACGTCAAGCTTCCCATGGCGAGCCATGACGGTTTCGAAGGCTTTAGCTACTTGTTCCTCCTCAGTGACATCACATTTAATGAAATGTGCAGTTGAGCCGAGTTCGGTGGTGACCATACGACCAGCCTCCTCGTCTATATCTACAATAATGGCTTCAGCACCTTGACTTACAAATTCCTCCGCCGTGGCCTTCCCTAGGCCGCTTGCTCCACCTGTTATGACCGCAACTTTGCCTTCTAACCTTCTAATATAAATTTGTGGTAAAACAATCCACGTGTTTAAAATCAGATCAGGAGATATTAACATTGTTGATAATTTAAGAACATTGATATAGAATCGACCTTGAAGAAGACGTTGAATATTGGAGAGTAGAAATAACTGGCTTGGAGTTGAAACCATTTTCTATATTAATGAGTTTGAAGTTTCTGCAAAGAGAAGAAAATTGAAACGGAGACTAATTATTTAATTAGATAACGAGAATCGGTTATAATCATCTCTTGTACCTTGTGAATAACCTCAACATTTTATCTTCGTCCTCTTTTCAATCACTATGTGAAAATGAATTTATGATTTTTTGGTGCAAGAGGCTTAAGCTTTTTATCATGCGAAACAATGAGAGAAAGGGTTGTGAGAAGTTATGAGAATATCTACCAAGATCACATTTCATTAAAATATTTTCTTCTTTTTTTGGTTTCCCTCTTTTTATTATTTTATTGTTTAGTCGTTAATGTTTAAACCTAAAGTAAGACCATCTTTATCGCAAAACCCTTCTATGGGGTTCTTATTTTCATTTTTATTTTTTTTTCAATTTTTTTTATCTGAAGGGCCCATGAACAGTTGAAAGAACCCACTAAATACAGCTCTTGTTTGGCATCCTCTGGCTCCGTTTTTAAACTTGGTGTGGGGTCTTCACCCCTTTAAAACTCGCGTGGAGCTCGCGATAATGGTGGTCTAACATTCCACTTTCCACATAGCGAACCTATGTGCATGTCTTTAGATATGATTTAGTTAGATTTTAGTTTTTAAAGTTTTTTTGAATATCTTTACATCAAACACAATGAATAAATATATTTCTCTCAATGTGACGATCTAGATAGTAACTCCTCAGTTGCATCAGAATTTAAAGGCATCAAAAATATTATTTACAAACATTTTTTAGACGATCAGCTATGTGAAGTCGGGTCTGCATACACTTTTCAGTTTTCACTCCATAATTTCATTCGACCAATGTACCAAGAATTAAAAACAACAAAAAAAAGAAGAAGGAGAGAATCTTGGATAAGACAGAGATCCTTAAAAAGCTAAAATCACTGGAAAGTGGTTTGACCGGAAAACCGAAAGACCAAAAAAAAAATAGAATTCATGTTAGTGGCCACTAACTTTGGTTGGGTAGGTTTTAATTAGTACAGTAAGTAAATCAAAATGGAGAGGTTTGTCTATATTTCAAGGGACAATAAAGGCAATAACGACAACGGTTCGCAGGCTTTACTTACTCCACAACTCAAACCCATCTTCATGCCTGGGTTTTAATTACGATTAAGATAACTAATCAGCGTGAAATTATTAGGTAACTAATACACTTGTTAGTTAAACAAGTAGAAGAAAAAAAAATCAAAACACCTTTTGTTTTGTCATCTTGCGTATGGAAAAGGAGACCATATTCAGACAAAGCAAGCGATGTTCCTCTGTCTCTCTCTCTTATCTCATTTTTTTTACAGTCAGCAACAGTGTCTCACTGTCTTTTTTGTCACGTGGGTGCACGTGATTCTTGGATTCATCATTGGGCCTATCTGATCCGTGTTAGCCCAAATAAATCATTTTCCTGGGCTTTAAAAGCCCATTCAAACAATCGTAAATGCCTGACGAGAAAAGCTCGAAACAGAGCAAGCTTCCAGCTTCAATGGAGCAAAACCCTAAAACAGAGAGGAAATGGCGGTACACATGGGAAGCTCAGTCTCACTCTCCAAACCTTCGTCTCTTTCTTTTCGACTCTGAAACTAACCCTAAGAACCAATGCAAGAGTCTCAATGTCTGTACCCTCCTCGAAAAATCTCAACTTCTCGTCACATGGATCGATTCCGAAGCAGAGGGAAGAGAAGATTGTGTTTCTCTTCGTGTTCCTGTTCCTAGAGTTCTTCTAGATGCTGAATCTCCTGTAAAGTTCAAAGCTTTGGATGATCACATCGAGGTTAGACTTGCTCTGTTACTCCCCGTTGATCATCCTCTAGTCTCTGATTTGGTGACTGGAGATAGAGAAAAGTCTGCGCCTTTAGTGATGGAATGTGATGTGAAGACTATGAATTTAATGGGAGGAGTTCATTTACACTGTAGAGAATGCTCTTTTAGGTTAACAAAGAGAGCTCTGTTTGAGTTCTCGGAGATGCCTTCTGTTAATTGGCGAGAGTCTGCTGATAATTGGTTTGGTACTTGTTGTTGTTCTTTTGGTGGGATTAGTGAGAAGATGGTTGTTAAGTATACTAACTCTTATGCTTGCTCTAGTGGGTTGTGTCTGCTTAGTGCTACAACTGTTTTGCTTAGTGAGGAGGATCTCGTAGAGTGTATCTTGTTTGATAAAGTTGGAGTGAGTCGGGGTTGTGATCTTGGTGTAGTTGAATTGGGTTCTGGAAAATGTGAAGTGGATAGTGACAGACATGAGGATGGAGGTGAGAGTATTCATGGTCAAGTCGATGAGTTGAGAGATAAGGCATTAACGGTGCCTGGATGTTGTGTACATGACTCGTCTGGCTCTAGTGAGAGTTTTCAGTTGGAGCAGAGACTTACACTTGATAAGAAGTTTCTTCTTGATGGGTTTCTTGAGGATGTTTTTATGGCAAAGGCATCGAATGTATCCAAGAATGTTGAGTGGGTCGAATTGGCTTGTCCACAGTGTTCGTCTCCTCTTGGAGCATATCCTTCTGGCGGTGGGAGCAACGAGAAACCCATAGATGGTGGAGTTAGACTCTTCAAGTGTTATATTTCCACATCATCTGCTACTGGTGAATCCTCTGATGTTTTCAGGAAATACACTTTGGAGAGAATGTTTACCAATCAGCTAGTGGAATGTGCCAAAGAAGAGTTATCATTTCATGTTTTGGTCAAAGATTTGACAACCAAATCGCCTCTGTTCCAGATTATCATCCTGAATCCAAACTCTTGGTCCTCGACTGGTCTATGTTCGAGCCGAGATGAAGCAGGTTTTACATCAGAACTAAGTCATATTGTGAAGGTTCTGTTTTCAGATTGCAACAGCGCACTGGTGAAGAAAGTTGATGAAGAAGTTTACATTTTGAAGGGACAAGGAGAAGAGTTGATAGAGCTGCTTACAAATGCTAGCAAATTTCTTCCATCTTCATGTGCATATCTTCAGGGCTCCCTTGTCTCATCTATGCATCTATGATTTAATGAATCTTTCTTCACTTTTATCTTATTCTTTCTTTTGTATGATTTAGTGATGAACATGGATATAAATTCTTGTAAACGAATTGTCTTTCTTTGCTATGTTTTGTTAACAGGTGTCTTGTTTATTTATGTTTTCATTGGTCAGGAAATCAACTTAGAAACCCATATCCCTTCATCTCTCCAAATTGTATGTTTTCGATGAACAAATACTTCATCCGTTTCACTACGATAATATGCAAGAAAAAATGTTTTATAAAGTAGATGTTTTAGGTATCTTATGCAGAAATTTTAAATTTCACAAAATTATTTGAGCTTATTGAATTACTATTAGTAAAAGTTTATTAAAAATAATAATTACAGAATGATGTATCTATAATAGTGATTTAATGTCTGAAAACATTAGAAAATCTATTTTAAAGAGTGGATGTAGTATTTTCTTGGTTTATAGAGACAGAATTTGATTTAGAACATGACTTATATTGTATAAAAAAAAAGGAAATTATACCTTATAGCTAGGAAAGATCCCATTTTTTAATAGCTTTCGAAACTTGAGGACGTTTTTGACGTTTCTAAATTAAAAATAATAACTGTAGATGCGTTACCATTTATTTCGAATATTGACTATTTTAAAATTCAAAATATTGTCTTTTTTTGCAAAAAAACAATTATCTAAACAATACTGCCATATTAAATTTAGTTAGGTAGTTAGAGTATTAAAATTAAGCGAACGACGATAAAAATGAGTTAGTTCAATTAACTTGGTAATGATTAGATAATAACATCCGTTACATAAGTGCATGAAAGACACGCGTTGCATGGATTAGTACATAAAACTCACACCATTAGTTGTTGCTAATCATCATTAGTATAGATTGCACTCTATCTCTATATAAACAGAGGGACAGTGACAGAGAGAAAGAGAGAGAGACGCAAAACCAAACAAGGGATGAAGCAGTGACGGTGAGACGACGGTAACGAAGTAGTCACGAGAGATCTGAGGTAACTCTTCAATGAAAAAGAGAAATAAAGTTTCAATTTTTTTTCTTCCTTCAAGTTGAAGCTCTGAATCTATTATACTCTCTCTCTAGAATCCAACTTTTTTTTCAGATTAGCCCACCTCATGGATTCCTCGTGATTCCACTTTAATGCCCTTTTCAATTACCTTTTAAGTCTCTCTTAAAAATTCAAACTTTTCTTCCTCCTCTGTAAGAATTTGTCTTTTTTGCGAAATTCAGGTTTCAAAGCTCTCAACTTTACGATGGTTCTCGACGGAAACGGCGGTGCGGTGTGGCTAAACGGCGGAGGCGGTGGAGAACGAGTTCAAGAGGAGGAGAACGAGGAACCTTCATGGGGAAGGAATAATCAAGAAGACGGAGGTTCTCTGTCTCAGTTCAAGCCTATGCTTGAAAGTGGTAATGATTGGTTTAGTAGTAGCCAACCACATCCACAAGATCTCCAGATGCTGCAGAGTCAGCAAGACTTCAGATTCCTCGGTGGGTTCGGTTTCAACCCCAACGAGAATCTTCTTCTTCTTCAACAGTCGTTAGACTCGTCTTCCTCTTGCTCACCTTCTCAAGCTTTCAGCCTCGACCCTTCGTCTCAAGCTTCGTTCTTGGCGAATAACAACAAGTCTTGTCTCCTCAACGTTCCTTCCTCTGCAAACCCTTTTGATAATGCCTTTGAGTTCGGGTCGGATTCTGGTTTCCTAGCTCCGGTTTCCATGGGGTTTGGTTCGTTGACGCAGTTGGGGAGCTCTGTCCCTGACTTCTTGTCTGCTCGGTCGCTTCTCCCGCCGGAAAACAACAACTCAACAACCTTATGTGGCGGTGGAGGAGGAGGAGGTGGGTTTACACCGTTGGAGCTGGAGGGTTTTGGGAGTCCTGCGAGTTTTGTTGGGAGCAGAGCGAAAGTTCTGAAGCCTTTAGAGGTTTTGGCAACGTCTGGTGCACAGCCTACTCTGTTTCAGAAACGTGCAGCTATGCGTCAGAGCTCTGGAAGCAAGATGGGGAACTCGGAGAGTTCAGGGATGAGGAGGCTGAGTGATGATGGAGATATGGATGAGACTGGGATTGAGGTTTCAGGGTTGAACTATGAGTCTGATGAGCTGAATGAGAGTGGTAAGGGGACTGAGAGTGTTCAGAATGGAGTAGGAGGAGGTAAAGGTAAGAAGAAAGGAATGCCTGCTAAGAATCTGATGGCTGAGAGGAGGAGGAGGAAGAAGCTTAATGATAGGCTTTACATGCTTAGATCAGTTGTCCCCAAGATCAGCAAAGTAAAACAATCACTTCTCTCTTATCATTTACTTTGTGTTGTTGTTTTGTTGCTTTTGTAAAAAGTTTAGCCGTTTGTTGTGGATTTGGATGTGTCATTTGCAGATGGATAGAGCATCAATACTTGGAGATGCAATTGATTATCTAAAGGAGCTTTTGCAAAGGATCAATGATCTTCACAACGAACTTGAGTCAACTCCAACTGGATCTTTGCCTCCAACTTCATCAAGCTTCCACCCATTGACGCCTACACCGCAGACTCTTTCTTGCCGTGTTAAGGAAGAGTTATGTCCCTCTTCTTTGCCAAGCCCTAAAGGCCAGCAAGCAAGAGTAAGGCTTAGACTTTGTTTAGATTAAAACAAACACATAGGTTAAGATATTTACTATGTGTTTTTATAATCCACAGGTTGAGGTTAGATTAAGGGAAGGAAGAGCAGTGAACATTCACATGTTTTGTGGTCGTAGACCTGGTCTTTTACTCGCTACCATGAAGGCCTTGGATAATCTTGGATTGGATGTTCAGCAAGCCGTGATCAGCTGTTTCAATGGGTTTGCCTTGGATGTTTTCCGCGCTGAGGTGAGAACTACAACATCAATCTACCTTTCAATTAAAAACAGTTGGGATATTTTACAAGATTTTTGTTGTAACATGTTTTCCTTTTTGTTGTGTGACTACCAGCAATGCCAAGAAGGACAGGAGATATTGCCTGATCAAATCAAAGCAGTGCTTTTCGAAACAGCGGGCTACGCTGGAATGATCTGAGCTGATCCTGAGTCAAGGTCCTTAAAGCAGTATCTGATGAAGCAGAGCTAGAAGAACTAAAGCCTTGCAATTTTCTTCTCTGTTTTTTTTATTTAAAATTTACTAAGCTGTTTGAACTTAGCATGACTTCAAACCTTCTTTTTAGCAATGTTGACTCTTATTATGTTTCATTCAAGTTATGACCAATAATTTCTTTTTTACATTTTTGACCTTTCTTAATGACTTATCTTCTCAACAAGAGCAAATGATGATTCAAACGAATATCGGTTTCTGACAGAGAATCTAATGTGAGTTTAACAGACAAAGCAGTCCGATGAACTTTGGTTTCAGCAGAAGATCTTGGAGCTTTATTCTGTGATGATGATGATGTTAGAAAAAAGTACACATTGAGATTTGAAGAATGAACAGAGAAAAAAAAAAGATGATAAAGAAGAGGAGGCAGAGCAGAAGAATATGCCCCACCAATTTGTCTTTTCTTTTCTCCCTTAAATGCTGAAAAAATCAAAACTTTGTGAATCCGTTGTATCCGTACATAAATGTAAAGGTAGACAGGAGACAGAGTTAATGGCGGTTAGAGACAGAAGATAGAGATCGTCACGAGAACCTAGAGGATGTTATGAAGGCTGAATTAAAGTCGTGGGACCTTCTATATTGAAATTTTCAAAAATTTAAAAAAAAAACGTAAGCTTTTAGGGTTTGAGCTCTGAATGAAATGCTCTCTCTATGTAGTATGTACTCTCTTGCAGTATTAATGAAGTCCTCGTGACTACAGTTGTGAATGTGTCTTTTTTGATGATTCAAAACGTTTCGTATTTTTCTTATCGTTTTCTCTGCAGAAGTCTTTCCTTTTTGAGGTTTTTAAACTTTTTTTTTCAATATTCCACTGAAAAGAAAGAAGCTCTTACTCTTTCATCATGATGTCATCTTCTGATTCTTCAGAGCATTAAAATCAGTCTTCTTTAAGAAGATCTTCCTCTGCATATTGCTGCTGAACAAGTCCTATAGTAAGGTGACAATAAGTATTGTACCCGAAGTGTGTCAAACACGAACCAGATCACATCAATATTGGTTTATGCCATTTTTAGCTACTCAATGGCAACTTTTAACTCAACACAAACACAGATATAAACTAATGAAATAGTAAATGAGAGGATGCAATTTTTATTAATTCACACATTTGGACATTTTAAAAGAGTTCAGTGAAGACATTTTTAAAAGGTCACAACGTCCGTGTTACTTGAAAATCTATGTTGTTGTTGCTCTCTCTTCACCAACCATGTCAATGTGATCATCAAACCTGATCAAAAAGGTTCGGATTTCCATTGGAGCAAGCTCAACAACTAGCTCTTCCTCGTCCACAGCTTCTCCTCTCTTTACTTCTTCCCCTGCTGAGCCTTCTACTTTCCACACTAGCCTTCTCTTCTCCATTTCCGCTTTCTCTTGGTTCCCTGAGAGACTTGTCTCTTTCACTTTGCTTATCTGTTAGACAATTTAAAAGAACCATAAATTGTTTTTTTTTTGTTAGGGCACGATGACACAAATAAGAGATTGGTTATCTTGTCTTTTTCTTTTTTGCGTACCGTCTTGTTGTTGAATAGTTTCTTTAGCTCTACTTTTGTCATGACTGAGTACTCACTATCCTCCCCAACCTTCACAAGGTTTAAAAAAGCAAAGCAATTAGTAAAACCAAGTAACAATTAGTAGATTGGTTCACAAGTCTCATTTAGATACGAAAGCTAAAACAAAAGTGAGGAATAACAAAGCACTGAGTATTAACCGCATAGTCAGCTATTCAGGAGTATAACCATGTAAGCAAAAACAATTAGGTGACAGATACACACTAGACGTGCGACGGATTGGTTCTACATTTGTATACAGAAGTTTATTGGCACTGCTAGATTTAGGTTTTCTTCTGCTATATAATTATTTGCTATCCTAATGGGAGTCTTAGGCCTAGTGTTAAACTAAAAGTCTACAACCAAAGGAGCACATAGCTATAACTTATTAACGGTCGAAACGCATATAGAAAACGAGTAAGAACCTCGAATAAGTGAGCAAGCCGTAAGAGAACTTCCCCATTTTCCAACTCCTGGAAAGTTTAGGATTAAACATTAACGGAGTTAACAAATAACAAACACGTTTGGCCTATTCACAGTATAGAATCAAACAAACCTGGAGGGTGAGTAATGCAACGTTATTTGGTAATGAGTATGACGGCTCAAACGCTGAGAATGTTGTCTTATGTGAATTAATCCAATGATCTCCTTCCTACAAGCAAAACATCTTATGTCACTTCACTATCTCAAAGAAGTGAGGGTAGTATTTATCTATTTTAGAGTAACCTGTTCCGTGAATGCTAGAAGAAGTGGAGAATATATCTCTTGACCAAATGTTCGACGCCATCTTGCACCATCTCCAGGTTTGTCTATCTGTACGTAAAACTTCCCTCGTATCTGCAAAACAACTCAAAGCAAAGCAAACTGCTTTAGGCTAAAAAAGGAGACGATTTGGCTCTACCTTGGAAACAAACTCTCACATTTTCCCTTAAAAGCTGATACGTTGCTACTTAGACGGCTAAAAATGAGATGATAACTTAAGACTATACCGTTAAGCCTTTGCATCCGTCAGGGAGACAGACTGTCTCATTAAGAATCTCACCAACACCTCTAATGTCGTCATGAAGCATTCTCCTGAACGAATGAGGAAAAAAAGAAGGTAAAACACAAGCAAAGCCACATATGTTGTCTTGGTAATATAGAGACGGTTAGTCAACAGACCGATGAAGCATCAACTCGATCTGGCCGTCCTCTAAGCTGGATCCGCCTACAGCGCGATCCACCAACACCGATAGCTCTGAAGTTTTATCTTGCATGTATATCCCGAGATTTATCTGGAAGAAAAAAAAATATTTTAGACAAAAGACATATATAATATAGTGCAGACATATCACGATTAGGAATCTCAGATTTGATCCCTTACAGGATAATAGTTCCCAGCAACTGGTTGGTACACTTGCAAGTCCCAATCTGTTCTGAAGTCCCGAATCTGCATGAAATTATAACGAAGTATGTCACAATAAAAACAATACGTTTGTTACAAGTAAAAGATAAACACTACAAGCATGAAGTTTGCATCTATACCCGTTTGATGAAGTCCCGACCATTAGAGTCTGTGTAAAACGTTTCATTTGTCTTCATGGTGGTTGTTAGTTTAGTGATAACCTCCTTGCTGTTACCATCATCAGCTGGTATAGGCCCAACCTAGAAAGCATGAAAAGTAAGACTGCAATTGAGAATTGTCTGCATCAGTTTAAAACGAAGATATATGATTGTAGAGAGAGAACGGCTCACAGTGAACTCAATTTCAGCATGGTCTTTTCCCTTGTACACTCTGGTAATCTGCACATGAACATACCCATCACAAGTTTAATCAAGCAGTTATAGCTACTAAAAATAATTAAAAATGTTCGAGAGCAATACATAATTGCAAGAGAAATAACCTGAGATATCCAGGAGTTAAACTCTTGGTGCACTTCATCAAACAAAGGTCCCCGAACAACAGTCAATTGAGCCTGAGCCAGGCAAGACAATTAGTTTAGACACGGTCAGGAATTAAGGTTACCGATGCAGTCAAGAAATCTTACCTGTCCTTCAGATTTAATTGGACGTACACCATCTGGTCGAAAAACATAAGCTCCAGAAGCCTTATAAGTATATGAAACCGGTTTAAAACGTGATACGAGTATAACGAAGTAACGAGATTGTATCTGTTAAAAAGCTGAACCTGTGGATCCTTGTCAGTTCCATTGCTTCCAATGTAATAAGCATATGTTTGTTCTACAGTAACCTTGAAATTTACCCCAAATCATCATCAGATCATGTCTAATAACAAAGTAGGGACGTCTAGATTAGAGAAAAAAACAAAGGCACACACACCTGATTTTGGGTACTTAAATAACGAGTCATTTTCACACCCTCTTTTGAATAGAGTAACTTAAGATTTCCTTGGCCAGCTTGTCCATCTTGATTCAAGCTTCCAGAAGTAACATATGACGCAGATAGTCCACGCCCTTAAATCAAATTAGAAAACAAAAATGCAAATAAATATAAAATGACTGTTGGACCAGTGAGAACCAATTGTCATGACTAGTAGAGCCAGGACACATGAAGTTTTATTTCAAGATCCTATCATTCACAAATAAATTTACCACACAATAGTACACATTCTGGAACATAGCTACCTGTTCGTCCAGTGTCTGAGATGACATACGAGCTGTACCCAAGAGGTGGTACTGAAACTATAAATGCAAGCACATGTTTTGCAGTATCCTTTGGCGATCTTCCAAGATATGCTTTGACATACTCCTTTCTTATTCTCAGTGTGATGTCTGAAAGAGGTAGAATCTGCGATACTACTTCTTTCCCAGATGCATCTTTCACGATAACATTTTCAGACGATACCTAGTGGAAGTCATCACGTACAATAGGTAAATGCTGGAATGAGTGGCAAATAATACTGGATGATAAAAATGATAAAGTGAGAGCTTCACCGATCAGGACTGAATAGTACTTACAGGAACTCGGACAACTTCTTCCCGTTTCCATCCTAGAGAATTGTAAACAACAACCACCTACGAGGAGAGATTAATGTAAACAGAAGATACAACAACTAACCAAGAGGTTCATGACTTCATAAACTGAAATAACATCACTTTGGCAGACTTACCAGACTTTTGCCGCTGGACAAACGAGCTTCAGATACCGGACAGTAACTAACATTAAGCAAGGGACACTGCCAATATGATACACAAGACAAGAATCAGCTTAACTCGTTAGAATACAGTATGTCGTTCGAACTTGAGTCATTAAAATGTTAATGAAAATGCTATAAAGAACCTTCATGAAATTTTGTTGCCTGAAGCAACGGCATCTTTTGCACAAATGATAATAAAAGTCATCTCAAAGTCTTCTAAACTCTTCTAACCCGGCCATAATATTATTGGAATCCTCGAAAAAGCCTAAACAAGCACATTACCTGCTGAAATTTTGTGTCGGAACTCTTCTCTTCAGTACTTGATTTTGATGCTGATAAAAAGGAAAGGGAAGAGGCAACCAACTTCTCGGCCTAGTAAGGATCATAAATAAAATTCTTAAGCAACTGAACAAACAAGAGAAAATGATTGCCTAGAAAACACAAGAAATGCCTGCTAACTAAAAAAGCACCTGCAGGTAACCCATTGAGAGTCTAAGAGCATAATCTGCAGCCACATGCTGTCTTTGTGTACCACTAACTGCATCATGGTGTTGCGCAATTGCCAAAGCATCAGCTAACATATCAGTTGTTGGTCCTGAACTGCTCCTACCTCTCAAGAATTCCAATTGTCGAGCTGCCTGTTTAAAAACAGACGGGGCCAAGTAAGAAGGAGCAAAAAGGAACCACAAATCAATGAAATTTTGTTTAAAATATCATGCCATACCAGATAGTAACCGCTTAAATCCCTCACATATCTTTTAAAGGCTGGCCTGCTCGTAAAGTACCCTGTCCAGTATGCATTAGGTTTGTCCGCATACCTGCCACAAGTACATGTAGATTTTTATCTAATCAACAAACATTTTAACATTTAGAGAGTTAAAACCGAGGCTATCAAACTCACGGGAAGAAATCATCAGTCTTGAGGGGCCACGACTCGTTTGCAGCATATTTTGCATCGGTGTAGATAGATGGTGTCGAATACAGGACATTGAGACGCCCATCCTGAATTGCGCAGACGACAGGGAATAAAAGATTGATATTTTACCTTCGAATTTTCCAACTGATACAAATTTGCTGGTACAAAAAGCCAGTGTACCTTGTTAACATAATGAATAAACTTGTCCATCTGTCTGTACCATGAATATGCATACTGGTAACGGAAGTCAGTTCCCATTAACCACATGATATGGTTTGTCCTGGTCACATTAACCTCGACAAGAGAAATCCAAGTAAAAACATTATAAGACATCACAGCAAAACTTCTCATATTTTGCTGATTTCAAGGAAAAAAGGATATGATCTTTACCTGTGCAAGGGCTGCAGCCACAAAGTCGTCGACACGCTCTTGAACATTGTAGTCAAAAAGAAGAGGATCATCCTATATTCAAGATCCTTTATCAGTGCATGTTCGAGCAAAGTTAAAACACTGAGGTCGATTGCTTTTACCTGGACAGGAGGTGACACATCATTTATTTCAAATGTGAAACCATCAGGAGGGTCATAATGTCTTGGGAATACACCGGTGAATATCTACAAACAACATGAAATAGCAGTGAGGCAAGGCCAGCTTAACAATGAAAAAAACCAGAACTGTAAAGTCATCTTTAATGGTTTTAACCTGTGAAGATGAGCCAAGGGACTTGGAACCTTGCCAAATAATCTCAAGTGTCTTCTCTCTCAATCTCTTTGCACGATCTTGGTAATCAATTCTAGCGAAAAACAGCGAATCAAAGCCTAACTGTAGAAGAAACAAAAGTGTCGTCCAATCAAATTTACTTGAGCTGATACATGCTAATCACTCACGGACACTCATTTCGAAGCAAAAACTAACCAAACGATGAAAAAAATTATACCTCAGCACCAAGCAAGTAAGCTTGCACTGCAGAATGTCCAAAGGGATCGATTTGCCAACCGACTCTAGGAACCTGACCAAACTCACTCTTGATAAACTGATGGCCTAGTGTTGTCTGATCAATCATGTCAATATAATGCGGAGTCGCCTCATCGTGCATACACATTCCACCATTTCTACAATAAGCACACATCATACATCAAGACACACGCACAAAAAAACACACATACACAATAAAAAAAGGTGAGATCAAATGAAACGCACATGAACTCAAGTTGACCAGAGTCAACAAGCTTCTTGACCTTAACCTTCTTGGCTTTGCTTTGTTGCCTCCACCATCTCTGAAAAAACGCCTAAGACAACACCCAACCATATCTAATTCCTTCAGCAAACTATAAAAAAAAAAAAAACAAAAACAAATCTCTGTATACCTAAGAATCTTACCATCTCAACATAATGAACTTTCTATTTTGATCATCCAGCAACGAAGCGACGACAGATTCGATTACATTCTCAACACAAGCTCCCTGTTCAAATCAAATTCACAATCAAACCCCAAAATTCGCGGAATCCAGTTAGATAGTGAAGACTGAAGAGAGTACCCTAATGGAGTTATTAGCGCCGACGTAGTACTGGTCAACGGTCTTGAGCCAGCCAACGTCGTCGTGGGAGTGAGGAACCAAGTGAACATTGATTTTCTCGGGGACGATTCTCGGTGTTGTGTTGTACTCTATGTACTCGGAGTTCACGACGCCGATCACGATCGTCAGCAGGAGAAGATGGAGAGCGAAGGAGTGGAGACTTTTGACCGCCATAGACGCGAGACTGCACAGAGAGGGGGAGATGAGCGTGAAGATCTATGTATAGGACAAGTGTAAGTAGAGGAAGGACGAAGAAGAAGAAGAGAGAGAGGCGCGTGAAGAATCAAAAGTGACGTTGTTCTTCTACTCACACTCTTCTTAATTATTAGGATAATTTAAATTTAATCTGATTTTCGTCTTGACTTACTAGTAATTTTATAGACTTTATCCACTTCCAACCAATAAGAGAGAATTCAAGGAATATTTTTTAAAAAATATTAGAGTCTAATTTTTGTAATGTCTTGCTTGTGGGAGAAGTGATACAAAATGGTCCATTCAGTTGCTTTGTTGAGAAATTGAATTATTGCAAGCCAAAGCGAATGATTACTGATGATTTTTTCTAGGGCATGTGCATTCGATAATCTAATCGGGTTTTGGTTTTATCCAATCGAATTTTGGTTTTTTTTCGAGTTTATCAAAAGCAACCTCATTGGTTCGGGTTCTATCGGTTTGGGTCGGAGTTAGTAAATCTTCAAAGAACTGGTATAATTCATTGTACTTTCGGGTTCAGATCCGAATCAGTTCTTCAGTTTTAAAATATCTGATTTGTACCTATTTTATAACCAAAACATAAGTGAAATTGTTTTTTTGGATTAAAAGTATATGATTTATACCTGTTTTGTAACCAAAATATAAGTAAAATTGATTCAAAAATAAGAAAAGAACATCAAACATGATCATTAAAATCAGACGAAAGATAAATATAGTTATTGATAGAAATAAAACCAAATAAATAAAAGCATAAAACTAAAATTAAGTTTTCATAAAATGAGAAGCATTATTCAATGAAAACAAAATCAAAATTCAAAAACTTCAAGCTTCAATCGCCACCTTTAACCATCAACCTTGATGTAATATATCATTATTTTAGAAGTTCAATAATAGTTTTAAGTATTTTGAATACATAATAGAAACTGAGTCATGTTTGATGCAAGTTATTTTTTAGGATTTTGAATGTTTCGAGTTCTATCGGATATCCATTTAAGTTCCGGTTCGGTTCGGATAATATCCATAATCAAAAATACCATAAAACAAGGTCCAATCGATATTTATGTCGGGTTTGAATTCATTTTTATCGGATCAGGTTTGGTTTATCGCCCAACTCTAATTATTTCCCCCCCCCCCAAAAAAAGAATGTTGAATTATCTTATATATTAAAACAGAAGTCACAACCTTGATTAATGTGTGATATTTTTAAAAATGAACTATTCCTTAGAAAGATTACGAAGATTATCAAATGTTACATAATTTAATGATAATATCTTTAAATATCTTTGTCTTTCTATTTTTAATACAAATGAAATAACTCCAAAAAAATTATTTTTGGCATCTTTTAAAATTGTATTTCCATAATATTACCCTATATCTTTATCTTTTATTTGAAATACAAATATTTTTGTTTAAGATATTAAAATTTATTTAGATAACATTATACATTCCTAAATTCTAAATAAAAAATTATATACTAGAGTTTGACCCACACAGATTTTTCATTTATAAATAGAACATTTTGATAGTTTTATAAAAAATGTAAATATATGATTTACATTTAATGTTCTATGTTATATAACTATAATTTTTTTGATTGTTATTACTTACTAATATATTTTTGAGTTTGGTACATAAATTATAATCTGAAATAATCAAATATATAATCTTCTTTAATATAAAGTTTTAGTTTATGCAATTTGCATACAATACATTTTAACATTTATTTAGATATATTATAAATAAATATTTGTTAATGATAATTTATATTTTCATGTTATGTTTAAAAATGATACTTTAACATCTATTATTTTAGTATTTTATGAAATTTTATAAATAAATATATTATTATTGATAATTTTTTTTATAAATTATAAATAAAAAGAAAACCCGCACGGTTGTGCGGGTCAAGATGATCTAGTTTAATTTTTATAATTGAAGTTAGAGAGGTAAAACAGGAATACAAAATTGCGAGGGTTGATTTCTCGTGGGCTGAGTTATATGCTGCGCCCAACCCAAATCGAGCAAAAGTCCATTACATTATTTGAACCAACCCGGCTTCAAGTTACAACTAAACTATGCAATCCATGAACAATAAATGATTTATTCAATAACTTTTACCCTCTCCGTTTCATATTAAGTGTCGTTGTAGAGAATTTTTTGCGTTACAAAATAAGTGTCATTTTCGGTTTTCAATGCAAAATTTATTAATTTTATTATGTAACTAATTTTTCTATTGGTTAAAATATGGTTAGGTGTATAGGTAACTGTGTTTTTATATAGAAAATATGTAAAATTAATTGTTTCTTTAATCCGTGTGCAGAGCTGTAGAGTGACACTTATAATGAAACAGAGGGAGTAGTTTGTAATACTATTACTTAGGTAGAAGAGGTAGTTGAACTCGGGAACAAAGACTCATTTTCCATGAAAAACCATAAAACTGATCAAGCAATTGAACTTACAACAATCCATTCTCATTAATGTAAAAATCCAGTTAGTTTAGTAGGAAGTATGAACACTAGTTTAGTATGATGAATAGACAGTATGAAATTGAGTCAAATGGTCATTTAATCTCATACTAGAACAGTTGTATAAACACATTGTCCCCCAAAAAGAAAAGCAAAAATGGGATATGAATGTGTTTTGTATCATGATCTCTCAAAGAGACCTTTAACATAAACCATGCCTTTCTCACTAAACTGAAGCTCCTTCCTCATTTCTTCAACCTGTACATCATCTCCTTGCACCACAACCTCATTCAACTTCCCATTTTCTCCCACCATCATCTTCACCTTTATCTCCTCTTTCCTCGACGCCTTCTTCCAGTAATACGCTCCTCTGCAACACATCCATCATTCATCATCATCACCAAATCATTCACAAACAGTTTCAGAAACACAAAGAGAGAGTAAATGAGTAAGCTTACGCGAGTGGACTAAGAATGGTAATGAAGAACCAATTGTTTCCAAAATCAGGCACTGTAATGGTTAAGACAAGACCCACACTTGCTAAGCTTATACATGTACAAAACGTCAGCAAAGCAGCTTGTCCTCTACTTGGAACCATTGTTCCTTCAAACCTTTTTTTCCACAATCAAACAACAATGTCAGTAACTAAAATTAAAACCCATAACTTTCTTATAAATTTAGCTTACGTGATCGTTTCTCCACGATCAGTAATGTCAAAGTTCTTCCTTGTGAAGAAAGAGAGAATCTCTCCAGCAACTTGCTTTGGCTCCTTCTTGACTCCTTCTCCTTCTCCAACAACAAACGTCTTCCTCACTATCTGCAAAACCCACTCACTGGATTAGAGGGTTTGATAGTTAAGTAACTTAACTTAAGACACAAAAGTTCGAACCTTTGATTTAACAGAGCGTTTGATGAGAGACCAAAGACCAGGAACTGAAATAACAAACAAACCCAACGACGTGTAGTAACTAGCCAACGAGTAACCACCACCAGTCTCCGTCATCAACAGTACTGAACTATTGTTCTGTTCCCACCATTGATGAATCTGAATCACAGATGAAGAAACATCAGTTAAAGGCTCCACAACCATGGCGGTGACAGGGGAGAAAACTCTGTTTCGTTTCGTCACACAGTCGCGTCTCCTCCCTTTTATTACCACATCTCTTGAAGTCAACCATGGACAAGACAACGACGGAGAAAACAGCTTCGTGGCCATCGTTGAGAGTCTCTCAATATCTTTACATGATCGTGTGTTATGTAAAATGAGTCTAATCCAAAAAAACGAGTGGTTCTCATTTTTTTTCTCAATTTAAATTTAAATTTAAAAATATATGACGTAGGTCGTTACAAATTAACAGAACCTCTGTTTTTAAGACAATCTCTGGTCATTAAAGATCTGGAAGGTAGATAAAATGAGACCCACCAAACCATCATTTAAACGAGATCACCATCTACAGAGAGAGAGAGAGAGAAGAGTCTTTATCATTAAAGATCTTTCTTCCCGACACAAAATCAGACCCAAACATGATTTTGATTTTCTTTTTGGGTATCTGTTCATTTTGACTGTTTATAGTGTTCTGTGTGCCCACAAAAGTTTTTAGCTAAACTAGGGACAGTAATTAATACTAGAACATGCAACAAAAAAAACAGAGCAATGAGTCACTCAGAAAGCAAGAAGAATCTTATTTGAGAAAAAAGATAAATAACAGATTTGCTTGTCAAATTTTTTGTTGGACCAACTTGGTTGTTTATCTTCTCTTTGGCAATAAAGGCTATATAAATCATAGGTAGGTTGAAGCTAAGGTCAAATCGTTTTCCCAAAGTTGATACTTTATAGGGGAAAAAATAAAGTAACTATGAATCTTTTTGGGTCCAAACATAATAAGTAGTAGGGAGTACATACATCATCTTTCAACAGGGAGTTTACATTTTTTGAAACTGTAATTTATTGGTCCAAACTCTTATATCTACTGTAACAGCTAGTGATTTCTGCTAGCTGGTAAAAGATGGATTTGTTAACACAACAAGAACAGAAAATCACACAACATTCCACACTCTTTGCTTCCTTTATATCATCAATAAATAATGTTTTTACAAAGTTATATTTTCTGCACTCATTTTAAAAAAAAAATTGCTGAAAATAACCTCCAGAGGAAGTAAAAAAAAGGGAGGAAAAACAAACAAACGAATAATAATAATAATAGCTCAGCTGTTCTTTATACACTTAACACAAACACAGCTGATCATTCTTCTTCTTCATCCTCTTCTTGAATATATATGTATATATATATGTAACTTTTTTGATCTCATTTAAAAAGCTGACTTCCAAGAGTAACAGTTGGAGTACCTTCACCCATGACTGTTGTTAAGCTCACTTCTTTGTCCAATATCCTCTCCAGTTCTGTCACAACATAACTCATTGTTGGTCTCTTCTCACTTGAAACATCAAGACATGTTAATGTCAGTGTAATAACCTCCTCCGCTCCTTCTGCTGTGTAAGTACCACCTAGTCTCTCATCGATCATTTCTGGTATCTCAGTGTAATCCGTTATGTTTTGCATCTGCAATCAATAATAAGATCACTCCAGTGCATCAAAGAGAGATTCAAAATACACTTCATTAGCAACATTCTCTGTGTATACATAGTACATACCCATTCGACAAGAGTTTGTGTTGAGCTTGAAGGGGATGGTTCTGATGCTTCTCTTCCACTTACTAATTCCAAAAGGAACACCCCAAAAGCATACACATCACTTTTCTCTGAATATCTTCTGAACTCTTGAACCCTGCCAAAAGCAGAAACATCTGAGCAACTTGGATACAACAGAAACAAAAGAATGTGAGCTTCAGAGGTGAAGAAGTTAGATTACTCAGGGGAGAGGAAGATCTGGTCTGCAACAACGTTAGAAGATGTACCAACATCCTCTCTTCCTAAGAAATTGCGGACTCCTGCATCCGCAACTTTAGCAATGAAGTTCTCGTCCACAAGAACATTAGCAGTTTTGAAGTCCTTGTGTATCAGTCTAGGACTCAGCGAGTGAAGATGTGCCAAGCCTAGAGATATACACAAGCAAGATCAGGACACAAGAACTCATATGATTCAAGAAGCTTTCATATAAATTTTACCTTTAGCTGCTCCTATTGAGATGGCAAGCCTGTTTCTGAATTCTAATCTGTTTCCAGGTACTTTACCACGATCACCTAATCAAAGACAACATCCAAAATGATGACTACATTGTCTACTAAACACAAGTTATGAAAACTGATTAGTTACCAAATCTCTATAAGGACAGAGAGTTACCGTACAGGTGACTGGAAACACTTCCATTAGGAACATACTCGTAGACAAGAAACTGCGTGTTGCTTTCTTGGCAATACCCCAAAAGAGTAACAAGATTACGATGGTTGATAGATGATAGATAACGAACCTGTTACAAAAAAATACATTGTAAGAGCCTCTCAAAACACTTGTGTTCTAGTTCATACTAAAGCGATTATATTATAGAAACCTCGTTGACAAATTCTTGTGTAGGCAAGCCAGGCCTTTTCTTGATAGCTACAAGAACACCGTCTTGAAGCAAACCTTTGTAAACCTCTCCGAATTTGCCAATACCAATAAGGCTTTTATTGGTGAAACTCTTGGTGGCTTGAGCAAGTTCCTCCATTTCAAACCTTCTAGCTTCTCTCATTGACAACTCAATCGCAACATTTCTTCCTTCAAAAACAGAAAAAAAAGTCTTAAAAATCATTACGAACCAAGAAAGTCAACAGATAAGGAATTATAACATTACCTTGAGTTGATGGATCAGAGGAGCCTGTCTCATCAGAGGTTCTTGACGCATTCTTGCGGCGAAAGATGCAAAACCAAAGGAGAAAAACCAAAAGAGAAATCAAGACAAGAGCTCCAACAGCAACTCCAATGGCTGCTGCTGCAGGAATAGCTGACATTTGATAGTCTCTTCTCCAATTCTCCAAGCTACCATGCGATAACCCTGAAGAATGTCGGCGAAAGAAAAAAAAAAGATACGAATTGATTATAAAGAAGAAGAAGACAAGACAAAACGAAAAGCAAAACAAAGCTTTTTTGTGGATATACATATATACATACATACATCTTTGTTTAAGAGAGGTAAGGAAAATAAAAAAAGGGTGTCAACTTGTAAAAAAATTGAATATGGTTTTCTTTTTGAGTCAATCAATCAAACAAACATGCAGTAATAAATTAAGAATTTAAAGTTTTTTCATTAAAAACCTTGACAGATCTCCAGGAAAATAAATAAAATCTCTCTACTTCACCGGCGAATAACTGTGTGATTCTTCTCCCAAGAACATTCAATGTGAGAGATCCTTAAACCGCAGATTCAATAATCAATCAAACCAAGAAAAAATGAACAAAAAAAAACAAGAAGATTTGGTGTGAAAAATGGAAGAAGAAGAGGAAGAGGTTTGAAACATCAAGTCTCTGATGGAGTTTCTAGAACAACTTGAAGGGAAAGGGAAGAAGAAGTGCAGACAATGCCGACAGAAAGTGACATCGTTCAGACAACAACTCTTTCTCTCTCTCTCTCTCTCTCTCTCTTAAGACTGAAGCTTAACTTACTGTGAACCAACAGCAGCAACAACAAGAATCAAACTATTTACTACTGTTTCTTTCTTTCAGGGATGCCTTTTGGAAGTGACATTTTTTTAGAGAAGTTGTGTTTTACTCTTTGTTCAACCACCACACCCATTTGTTTTAATTTTTTTTTTCTTTGTGGGAATAAAAAGAGAGAACCTTTGAAGACAAGTGGGTCACTTCGCCAGTTTGCAATTTACAACCAAAGGAATTTCTATTTATTTATTTTGTGTCTGAGAAAAAAAGAGTGGAAGAAGAAGATGATGGAGAAAGAAGCTAAAACCTATGTGTAAACGCAGTTTTAGCTGCCGCAAATATAAAAGAGATGAACACACTCACTACTCTTGTCTCTGCATCCTCTTCAGCTTTTTATTTACTCCCAAATATCTCTGTTTTTTTTTTCTCTATTTCCTTTTTTCGCATGTTTTTATTTTCCTTTTATTGAATCTTTTATTTACACTAGTAAATGAGTTTTTTACTTGAATGTTACTGGTAAAAATGATTTTCTTACTTGAATGTCAATAACGTTTTTTTCTCTGTTAGTTAATTAAAAAACAACTAATGACAGATGGGAATTTATGTCGAAATATTTAGATAATTCTTAGAATTTTTTTTTTTCTTCCAACCAATGTAATTGTAAGAACTGTTTATCCATCTCAATCATAATGTAGTCACTGTTTTGTCCATCATAAAATAAATAAATACGACCATGGCTTTTCATAGATTTATAGTCATTTTTTTAAAACCTTTGTATTGATAATTTTCAATGTTATTATGAAAGAATTATTGAAATCTTCTGAAAAGAATTCAGTTCAATCAAAAAAGTCTTCTCATAATTTCACCATTTCTGTTATAATTATTTTTACAGTTATGAATAGTACTTTTAAAAATATTAATTGTTTTACATTTAGGAGTGTTACTAATTGAAACTTGAACACAACCACTATAATCGAAAAAGACAACTTTGTAATATATTTTAAAAGTATGAGCAGAGTGTTGTTTTATCTGGCACTAATTATAAAAATGTTGATTAAAAAGCAAATTAAAATAAATTAACGTTGTTATTAATGATAAAATAGATATCCAGCGAACAAACATTCATAAAATATTCTTTAAACAATTAAAAACTCAACAAACTCGCTTTTTGATTAAATAAAATAATTGGGAGTAGGACCACATTCTACATCGACAGAGTAAAAAGGTGGGGTCAAAGGACCCACAAGCCAGCTGTATAGACATTTGCTTCTACTCTTTCTTATATATTTACCCGTTGGTTACTGACGCTAACGTTTCAACTCACATTCACACGATCGGCGTTTCGCGTTTATATTAACGTCTGCCTTGACTTTTTATATTGGATTTTATTCCTCTCTTCCCCATTTAAAAGAAGAAAAAATGGGAAATTTGAAACGAGACCAATGATTGAAGCGGCGGTCGTGGCCATCATGAATAAATGATACAAACTGGAAATGATTGAAAAGTGACTGCAAAAAATAAAACATTAATCATGTTCTGCACCAACCGTCTCTCATTTTTCAAAAGACTCATATTAGGGCCCAATAAATTTTAATTAACCATATACATGATCCATGGGCTTTATTGCCTAACTTTTTTGCCCATTCAATATTCCGGGTTTGATTGTGTGGCTTCATCGGTTTATGTGAGCTACTAAATACTGTAGACATTAGACAAGATACCAACCACTTAAACCAGCTCAACTTGGTCGTGTTTTGGTGTTTGGTCTAGTTCACGTTATTGTACACTCAAATTATCCGTAAAAAACTCTTAAGTCTAAAGATTTAACTAATGGTTTATTAACTCTTTCTACATTTAGAGGTCATGGAAAAAGTATTGTTATAAGTGGACTTTGCAATCCAAAAACATTGATTGGTTGAATATTATATTACTAATAAGATCCGCACCTTGCGCGGGATGAAGTTATTATTTTTATTATGTTTTGGAAAATGAAACAAAAGTTCGGTTTCATCTGGATTAAGGATGTTCAATCTGGATATCGGGTTTCGGTATTTCGGTTATTAAAATATAACTACTATTTTAAATCCATATTTACTTCAGTTTGATTTGGTTTATATATTGGTTTTCAGTTTATTCAATTTTATACCAAAATACATCATTATTTAGTTTGAGATCATATTATATATTAGAAAAATAAATAATATGATCATATTTAGAGTCATGTTGTCAAAAAGTCATTTACTAAAAAAAATATTATATATTTAAATAAAAAAATAAAAAACAAAAAAAGACTCCTATCATCTAATAAAATGATCAAATTTAGAATTAATATCAAATCTCTAAATTCTGAAAATAAAAATAAAAACAAAAGAGAAGCATGAAAGAAAAGTTTTTATATTCTTCCATATTTAGTGTTCATCAAATTAATATTTCTACGATTGAACACAACTCTGTTTGTTTAAAGATTCAAAAAAATTGTAAAGAATTTCAACTAATTGTTGTCCATCAAATTTATAATTTTTACTTCAATCTAGTTATTATTAAAAAAAAAAGCAAAAAGATAAAAAAAGACTAAGAAAATAAGAAGCCTCAGTTGCATTAAATTTTTACTTAATTATAGTTCAAGTGATTCAAGTGATTTACAAATCATAATTATAGTTCAACTCATGTAACAAATAGATACACATATTTACATGTTTCAGTTTAATCGGTTATAAATCAAACCATATCCAAATCTTACGGTTTTTATAAAATCACATACATTCGGTTTGTATGGTATATACCAAAAATAACCATATTATCGATTGTGTTAATATCTTTTTAAAATATAAAATTAAAAAAAAAACTAATATATTTAAATCATTGATAACAAAAAATTTCAATGTGAAAATATTAATACGTTTATAATTTATAAATGTTCTTGAAAATTCATTGAAATTAAATAATTATGTAATCTTATATGGTATATAGTTTAATCTATATATATATATATATATTTGTTTTATTACTGAATAATACTTTTTACTCATATGGTTTTAAAATCATGTGTATCTTTTTATAAAAAATGTTAAACTATTGATCATTAATTTTTAAAATAATAATTTTAATATTTTTAGTCATTTATTCTCCGTTTTTAAAATTCAAAATATAACATATACGGAAAAATTTCAAGTTTAATTTTATAGCTAATTTGATTGTTTAATTTATTTTAATAATATAAAATTAAAGAAAAATGATGGAGGAGATATAAATTGTTAGCAAATATTTATTATTAAAAATATTAATTGTCATATATATATATATATATATATATATATTTGTCATTTATGGTAATTCCGTAGCTTTTATTTAAGGAAAGAAAATAAATTAGTAATTATATCTAGCAGAACAATCATAAATGCTTCTATCATAAATATCATATCATATCATATAGTTTGACCAACAAATATATCTAGCGACATATACAAATCGAATGTGGATCTACTTATTTTTCAATTGAATGTAATTGACTACCTAATTGAGTGACACGTAGGTATGATCTCTTTTTTAATTATTACAAAATTGAAGTTACAATTTTCAAATGTTTCTCAATTAATATATAAGGGATTACAAACTATTAGAATTGTTATAGACGATTCTACAGCTGATAATCGAAATCATCTTACATTTATAATCTTTTTTTGTACCCGATTTACTCCTATTATAATCGAAATTTCTGAGTTGATTTGTCCCTAGTTATTGTTAATCATCTATTCAAATTCCACTCCCAACAAGTATCGTACGTAAAAAAAATTAAAAAAAAAATCCCCACTCCAATCTAGCCATGCATTTCTTTCTGTACTTTATTTTCTTTAGTAGTACGTTTGATGTGTTTTAGTTAGAGTCATATGTGTCATCTAGTCAACTAAGGAGGTGAGAGAGCATTTTAGAGCTCTATCTATCCAAGTTTAAGTTTATGATTATGATTATATCTTTGGTGGGGTTGGAGAAATTTATGGAAATATAATGTATACACGTGAAAGATGGAGATGGTTGGGTGGTTAATAAAGAATTGAATTGAATGCTCTTTCTCTCTCACTTTCGTTAGCTCTTTCCCCGGAAAAATCTTCCTTTTACTACTATAGATAGCAAACTAACCCAACACCGTTCCTTTCTTTTTCCTCTTTTTTGTTTTGTTTCTGTTTCAACTTTTGTTTCTCTCTCTCTTCTTTAGTTCTGGGTAAAGGAAAAAAAAATGATGAACTTTGTTGAACAAGATGATTCTTCATGGGAGCTATGTTGATGTTTTTTGCTGACACCAACAGACAAAGACAGGATCTTTTTTTTCTTTGTTTTTCTTCAAAGCTTTGAAGCTGCATTTTTCTTTGTAATTGGTTTTTTCTTTCTCCTTCTCTCTTGTCTTTCTTCATAGGAATTTTTGAGTTTTGATTTCATATCCTTGGCAGGTTTTGTCAAAATGTCTAATCTTTCAGCACGGACAGGAAGAGACCGTCAACGCTATGACAACAACTTCCGTCTCGTTTCTGGGTACAACATCCTTTTTTTTTAGTTTAGTGTGGTTGACTTTATTAATGTTAGAATCCTTCTTGATATGATATGATGTGATGGGATGGGATCTCAGTCTGGTGTGTTGAATATGGTGACAGATGCATTCCTTATAGGCTAGTGAAAGATGAAGAGGACTCAAGTGTTGATTTTGAAAACAAGCTTCAAGTGCTTATGGTTTCGTCTCCTAACCGACACGATCTTGTCTTCCCAAAGGTTTGTCTCTTTCCTGAATTAATTGTTCATTTTGTTGCTTTTTGAAACTAATCACTTTTATGTATTGTTTAGGGAGGATGGGAAGATGATGAGACTGTTCTTGAAGCTGCTTCTCGTGAAGCCATGGAAGAAGCAGGAGTTAAAGGAATACTAAGGGTATGTTTCTTCTTCTTTTGCTTCATCAAAAGTTTCTTCTTTAATAGATTTTGCATAGACTGAATCGTCTTTTTGTGTCTTTTTCTTTCTATAGGAAGACCCATTAGGAGTTTGGGAATTTAGAAGCAAGAGTAGCTGTGAGGAGGCTGAATGTTGTGGTGGATGCAAAGGTTATATGTTTGCATTAGAGGTGAAGGAAGAACTTACTGCATGGCCAGAGCAAGAAAACCGCGAGAGGAGATGGGTAAGTAGCAGCACAACTGTTTGCTTTTGTCTATGTCGTATATGTTCTGATAAGGAGTTTGTATAAATGCGCAGCTGAATGTTAAAGAAGCTTTGGAGCTGTGTCGGTATGAGTGGATGCAGAGTGCTCTTGAAGAGTTTCTAAGAGTAATGACAGAAGATGGAAGTACAAAAGAAGAGACTCTTTCCCCTTCAAGCATTTCTAATAGAGAACAACGTCAAATCGATTCTCGGTACTGCTTTGTGGTTAACTAGTTTCATTTCTCTTAGTCACATCAAACTTGTTCAGTTGTTAGTATGGACTATTATTGAGAAGCTTCTTCTGTAAACGAAGTTATAATATGAGAAGCTTAACTCAATTTGGTTTACCCTGTGTCTTTAATGTGATTCGTATAAATAGAGGCTATTATTAACTAATAAGGTCCACTGTCATAGATGCTCTCTGAATGAATCCAACAAACAAACACAAGATTAAAGGCAGTAATCACTCACAGACCAATGGAAGTGAAATCAAGAACACTTGACGCAATAGAAAAGGCATCGATTAGCTTGAAACGTTTTACACAACCTGTGTGCTCCGTAAGTGGCTCTCAGGTCTGACATATGACTCCACAACCAACTCATCGTGATTTTGTGACTGCCATTGGGTTCTTCTGCCTCCAGTTGTCTGAAAAATCAACATCTACAACCACGAGATAACGATAGCAAGTATATATGGGGTTCCTTATCAATGACAAACTCAGTTTCTGCAATGAAGTTACTGACAATCATCTACCTCCAGATTTTTAGATGTCAATTTCCGTTCTCTCTTATTTTGGTTATCATATTCATTCTTTGAATCGTGTACTCGTTTGCTTCTTGTGAGAGCTGCATAAATGCCGCTTGATGCTAATCAATCTTCTAGGTAAAGAAGAAGTAAATGTAATATAGAAAGATTTGTTTCTCTGAAATCTTTTATTTACCAATCATTATAACTAAAAGAATTAGCCAGTTGAAGAATACAAGATTACAAAGAGAATAATCAAGAAAGTACTTCAATTCTACAGTTGCAATATCCAGGATGTTATATAAGCATTAAGCATCCCTAGCTCCCTACAAGCTTCAGTGAGAACCTCCAAAGCTATTACAGCTAGAGCCTCCGAAGTTATTAGTGTTCTTACCAATAGGAAGCAGTCAACCTAAAGTTGAATCTCAGCGTCTGAGCCAGTCTCTAAAACATGACTGCATTTTCTCGCGGCTCTCAGCATTGAAGATATTCACTGTAGGAATAATCTTATCTGGCCTTAAAAACTGTGTGAAAACGAAACCAATTAATGCCAAAAGAAGTCTCAAATCTTATCCAAGACAGACACGAATAGATAACAACAACATTTATGGTACGCACTTGAACAAACTCACGAAGTTCTGTGAAGCTTGAATGCTCACTATATGGAACTCCTACAAAGATAAATAAGTACAGACGGTCAGACAAATCCATCTTGATGATACTTTGTAGGTATAGAGGATGAGCATTACAACAATGAAGCTCACCATAAATGGTAATTTTCCCTCTTGAAGTTGGCTTTATCAGATCAAGGTGTTCACCTACCTTCTCGGAGTAAGTCCAACCTGAAACCAAACTACACTTCTCGTACCAATAGTTTAATCAAAGACCTTTAAAAAAGGAACTGCAAGGCAAAAAAAAAAACTCACCTGTGGGTCTAAATGCCAAAACTGCTCCATACTGTTCTCTATAAGCCTTCAAGTGTTCCTCTAGTCTCTTCAGAGAAATTATCAGAACAATAATAAGATCATATCAGAGATTGACATGGAAGTTTATATAGCTATACTTGAAATAAACATCTTGGTTTCAGAGAAATACTTCAAATTTCAATGCTGACATAGGCAGAACATGAAGACAAGTGGCTTTCCCATCTGTACAAAGGTTCTTTGAAATATCATCCCATCCAAAAGATTGCAGTATCCGTCTTCTTGAAGCATTAGCAAATATCTTAACCTGAAAACCCCACGAGGTTAGAACTTACAAGTCCAAAGCCGAAGGCTAAAAGAGAATGGCTCAAGCAACTTATACCCCAAGTGCCTTGGCAATAGCTAGATAAACACATTCTTTTCCAATGCTATAAGAACCAACCACAATCAGAGTCCTCGGTTGTTTCCTTAGGAACTCCTTTGTGATTCTCACTACATAACTTAACACATCTTCTTTAGAGGGGAATCTGAACAAAAAAAACCAATCAAACTTCACGACCCATTATCAGTTCTATTATTTGAAAACTCTTGATCTCACTCACTTGTATCTCGGATTGCAATAGGTTGTATCCAAATACAGCACATGAACTCTTCGGTTAAAGAGGAGAGGATGAGTTTGCATCTGCTTAGAAGCCCTGAAATCTCCAGTATGAAGATAACATGTTCCATCTAACAAACGAAAGTGGATAAGGGCAGCACCAGGGCAATGATTAGCTTCAATTAAAGTCACTTTGATCCCATTAATAGTGTATTCCACATCTATCTCCAACGGATGGATAAACCTACACACACACAGAGAATCACCACACAGAAAACTAAACACACAAACTTGAAAGGATTGTCTTTAAAATAGCAGAGAACTCACGAGGGGTTAACATAGAGACTAAGTCTGAGAAGACGACTAGTGAGGGAGGAGCAGTAAATGGGACCATGAGACCAAGCCTTAGTGAGACCAATGTAATGATCAGCGTGAAAGTGAGTAAGGAAGTAAGCAGAACACCCTTGAACACAACCATAACGAAACGCATCCACCGTAAACGGTGTTCCTACAGATAAAACCACACAAAAAACGTCACAAAAACTTGGCTAAAAGAGAAAACACAAATGAATGGGCAAAAAAAGAGTAAAAGACCTGGAAGTTTCTTGTAAAAAGGACACTGTCGAGGCGTGTCATTACCCAATGGAGAGTCTCTAAATCTCTTTCTAGAACCAGAACTCGTCTTCATCGCAGACGATGAAGCAGGGGAAGTGGAAGTAGAAGGAGAAGGCTTTTGTAAACCCCAAACCTGAAACAAGTCCGTTTGTTTCGTTGTCTTCTTCTTATTCGTCACAGGAGTGAACTTCTCTAAACCCCAAACATCAAACAAGTTGGTTTGTTTCATCTTCTTACTCTCTGGAGTAACCTTATCCGTCTCTTCATCTTCTTCTCCCAACAAACAAGACCAATCAGAACCAGCCTTGTAGAAATCAGAAGCAAAACCCTCTTCTTCAACAACAACAACATCGTCATAGAAACTAAACCCCTCTTCTTCAAAACCGTCGTTGAAACCAGAACCAAAACTGTCGTCGTTGTCTTCATCAAAAGCATCCATTTTTGTTTTGGTTTCTGAGACAACGAAAGGTCAAAAGGGTCAACTTTGCGTTCTAACCCGCCAAAGGATGTGTCGGCTAGAGAGAGAGAGGGTAAAAATGGTAAAAAAAGGAAAAGCCCAACAAAAACGTGAGGAGCAGAAAGAAGACAGATAATAAACACACAAAAGAGGGCCCAAAACATTTGAAGATCGAATCTCAGTCTCAATCTCCATCGTCATCGTCGTCTTCTTCCCTTTAACCCCGTCACCGTCGTTGAGAATTTTCTCGGCGATTGGGACTTTCCCCTTAACGAAAAATCAAACCTTTTTTTGTGGGTTTTTTCTATATTTGAGAAAAGATCCAATTTTTATTATTCCTTTGACTCGACGCCATTGTTGTTTGGTCAAAAAGAAAAAGCTAAAACCATTTTCTTGTTGGGAGAGGAGGACTTGTAATCTGCTCTGCTGTTAGAGAAACCAATCTGGATCTGAAGAAGAAGCTCTCTCTCGTAGGTTTCTTTATTGATCTCTGTTTTCATTACAAACGATTCAAGAAACACATGATCTTGGCTTATCAAAAGCAGCAAGCTTTGTGTTTTTTCTTCTCTTGCAGATTCCGAAGGCTTTGAAGATCATATAAGAGTCTGAGATTTGCTCAAAGTTTGCAGCTTTAGATGATACGTAATTGACCCGTCTCTGTTCTTTTTAAACCATGGGAGAGTGGGTCATCGGAGCTTTCATTAATATTTTTGGAAGCGTTGCTATTAATTTCGGCACTAACCTTCTCAAATTGGGACATAATGAGGTCTGCTTTTGCCTCCCCTCAATACTCATTTGGTTACATTCTGATTGATCTCATGATGAGCCTTACTTTTGTTGTTTTATTGTCAGAGAGAGAGGTTAGCTTTACAGGATGGTGGTGGTGGAAAGACACCATTGAAGCCTATTATACATTTTCAGACATGGAGAGTTGGTATATTGCTTTTGGTCTTAAAACCTTTTCCCTTTAAAAAGAAGCTAGTTCTGAGCCTTTATGTTGTTGGGAACTTACAGGGATCCTTGTCTTTCTTCTTGGGAATTGCCTCAATTTCATTTCGTTTGGTTATGCTGCTCAGGTTGAGTCATTTGTTCTACTTGCATTACGGTTTTCTCTTTTGTTTTTTCTTACCTTTATGCATTCTTTTTGCAGTCTCTTCTAGCAGCTCTTGGATCTATTCAATTTGTATCCAACATAGCGTTTGCTTATGTTGTATTGAACAAAATGGTGACTGTCAAGTACGTGAACCATCCTCGCCGCAAATCTTTAACAATCTATTTTACCTCTTCTAATTTTGTTTGGTATGGATTTTGTTTGTCATAGAGTACTTGTTGCTACAGCTTTCATAGTTCTTGGAAACGTTTTCCTGGTAGCATTTGGTAATCATCAGTCACCAGGTAACTATTCTTGAACTGGGAGGTTTTTTTGGTCTGTCGTTTTTTCACAAGACGTGACCTAATGCAAATCTTATGTGGTCAGTTTTCACACCCGAACAGTTGGCAGAAAAATACAGTAATGTGACGTTCTTGGTGTACTGTGGGATTTTGATTCTAATCGTAGCCGTAAACCATTTCTTCTATAGGTGAGTCTTGCATTTTAAATTGTAGTGGCAATATATTTTTTTTGACTATCTGCTCTCTTTCGTGATATGTTTAACTGAAAATATTCAGGAAGGGGGAAGTTTTGTTATCTATACCGGGACAAGAGATTAGCTCCTATTGGAAAATGTTGCTTCCTTTCTCATATGCTGTGGTCTCTGGCGCTATAGGATCATGTTCGGTTTTATTCGCCAAGTCACTGTGAGTTTGTAAATTTGCTGACTTTTCTTGAATAAACTGATAAGTGCTAATATGAGTTTCATCTTGCAGCTCAAACTTGCTGAGATTGGCCATGTCTAGTAGCTATCAGTTGCACAGCTGGTTCACATACTCTATGCTTCTTTTATTCCTTAGTACAGCTGGATTCTGGGTAAAGCCTTAGAGCTAATGAAAATTTTATCCGCTTTGTTTTGCAAATGAGACAATGAAGTTACTAAAGTAAAAGTGTCTTTCATGTGCTTCTTTTGCAGATGACAAGATTAAACGAAGGGTTGTCTCTTTATGATGCAATTCTCATAGTTCCAATGTTTCAGATTGCTTGGACTTTCTTCTCTATCTGTACAGGATTCATCTACTTTCAAGAGTTTCAGGTTCATTTATTATCTTGATATTGATGCGATTCCTCTCTTCTTCTTTATCGTGGGACTAAGAAGGGATCTTAGATGATTAGTTTGGTCCTCTTGTATCATCAGCCTTATTATTTTCGTCTTCCTTAAACAGGTTTTCGATGCGCTAAGAACGACAATGTTCATATCAGGAATGTTGTGCGTATTCATAGGCATATCTTTACTAGCACCTGATGATACAAGAGGCAACGAGTCAAAAGACAATACCTCATCTCTTGACTCAATAGTGTCCTCTGACGTGCCATCTGAAGAGGACAGGTTAATAACGCGTGCTAGTTAGATCGTTAATTGAGAAGCTGTTAACTAAGTTAGCTATATTTGACATTGATATTTTTCAACAGGTTGATATCACAATCGTCTGAAGATGGACATAGCAAAGACACAAGAGTAGTCGTGCAAGGAATGTATATGAAAGCAACTGATCTATTTGCCAAGACAAAGGTACCCACAAAGCCAAAACATCTTCACTGGTACGCTTTATCAATAGTACTAACTCTTCTTCTTTGTGTTGTGTTGTAGACTGCTTGTTTAGCGGCATTGGGCTTTGGGGAAGACTCCATAAACGCATCAGCCATTCTCGTGATGCCAATGGTATCTTCGAAGATAACAGGGTTTAGAGGAAACGGACTTGAAAGGGCTAAGATCTTGTCCATGAGAGGAGGATCAGGATGGAGCAAACTAGCCATGGAAGAAGAAGGAACAAGAATGCTTGAAAAGACATCTCATCACCACCCTTCAAAGGCTTAAAGTAGATTAGTAAAACACAGAGAACTATGAAACAGTTTCTCAGGTACATTCTTCTCTTTATCATATTATGTCTTTAGTAGCAAAAACCATTACACGATTGTGTATTCTTGCAAAAAAAAAAACAAAAATGTATAACATTACATCTCTGTATATTATTATTATTATTATTATTACTGTTTGAGACCTGTTATAAAGAGTTTCATAAAATTTGATTTCAAAAGATGCAAATCACTTCCAGTTGTTGGCAACAATGTCAGCCAAATCAACAACTCTCTGAGAGTAACCCCATTCATTATCATACCAAGCAATCACCTTAACCATATCATCTCCCATCACCATAGTGAGTGAAGAATCAATGGTGGACGACACATCTGAGCATCTGAAATCAACAGACACAAGTGGCTCATCACAGACTTCAAGTATACCTTTAAGCTCTTTCTCTGCAGAGTCTCTGAAAGCAGCGTTAACTTCCTCCGCAAAAGTCTTCTTGGTTACCTGCACAACGAGATCAACCACTGACACGTTTGGTGTTGGTACACGGAGAGCGATCCCGTTGAGTTTTCCTTTGAGGTTAGGGAGCACTAGAGCCACTGCTTTAGCTGCTCCTGTAGATGTGGGAACGATGTTTAAAGCAGCAGCTCTTGCTCTCCTTAGATCACGGTGGCTAGCGTCTAGTAACCTCTGGTCACCGGTGTAAGAGTGTGTAGTTGTCATTGTACCCTTTATGATACCTACAAAATGTCACAACACACATTCAAACACTGTTCCATTGATCCAAGATGACGTAAGAGAAACTATTGCATTACCAAATTTCTGGTCTAGAACTTTGACAAAGGGAGCAAGACAGTTAGTAGTGCAAGATGCATTGCTAATAATCGGTTCGTCGGGGTTGTAAGCATCAGCATTGACACCAACAACGTAAGTTGGAATGTCTCCTTTGCCTGGAGCTGTAATAATAACCTTCTTGGCTCCAGCTTCAATGTGTTTCCCTGCACCTTCTCTATCAACAAACACTCCTGTTCCTTCAATGACAATGTCGATTCCTAACTCCCTAAGAAACCACCAACAAAGACATTCAAATGATTATCAGACTGATCAAGTTTCAGACACAGAACTGCATTGTTGACTTACTTCCAAGGGAGAAGAGACGGGTTGCGGTTAGACACAACCTTGATGATCTTTCCATCAACAGAGAGTGCAGCGTCTCCGGAAGGTTTCACATCAGCGTCAAAGATTCCAAGAGTAGAGTCGTATTTAAGAAGATGTGAGGCCTGCTTTACACCACCAGTGTCGTTAATGGCAATGACATCAAAAGGAGAGTCCTTACGTCCATGCCAGCATCTCAAGAAGTTCCTCCCTATCCGACCAAACCCATTTATGGCCACCTTAAGTTTAGCCTCGGTGACACTTTTCCTGTATCCACCACTGCTTCCAACCTAGCAACATGCACACATCTAAGTAGATTACAAAACAGCAAAACAGATCAACATACATTTTGTTACTTGGTATTAACATGTCATAAGACATAACATGAAAGGTACAGATAATGGTATAGGAAACAGAGAACTCACTGCAGAAGTCTGGAAAGTGACAGAAGAAACAAACTCATCAGGAGAAAGTTTCTTGCCGAAGGAAAGTAAAGCAGAAGAGCTTTTCAATCCTGAGAACTCGGACAAACACTGAAGACAACCAAAACACGTTTACTTAACTTGTGAAGAGGCACTAAAAAGAAATCATCAGCAGAAGAAGAAGAAAGGAGGAAACCTGAAGAGATGGTTTGGGGACAGAGAAAGTAGCTAAAGCGATGGTCACACCACAGAGGATCAAAATTAAGGTTGTACCAGCAAGGAAGATGTGAAGGAGATGGGTTGTAATATATAGTAAAATAAAATGATTCTGGATAGCTTTTTGTTACTTATTTGTATGGTTGTGGCTATCAAAATCACTCTCTTTCTAATCTTGTCATGTTTCTATGATCATATTTTCACAACTCTTCAATGTGTGTGTGTGGTCATGATAAAATAAAGATAAGGCTTTTAATTGGATATTTACTAATTTTTAGATCTTTTGTACAAAATACAGTAAAAATCAATTAATTAATACATAGTAAATTAATTATTTTAATCAAATTATACTACTTTAGAATAACATAATTTAATGAAATGAGATACCATTTTATTAATATCATACATTACTAATTAATTAATATAAAATTTCTATAAACATAAATAAAGTAGAATATAATTATATCTTATTCCAAATTATTTTCTAGAGATTTATTATTATTTAAAATATTTTAGTCTTATTTGTAGAAATGTGTTTAAAATGAGTCTACACAAATATACATATATATATATATTTATAAACTCAAAAGAAATTCTTTTTTAAGAGATAAAATAAAATATCTAAAATTTAGTCAATATATGTAGTTTTAAAATATTTATGTTATTCTAAATAAAATAATAATTAAAATATAACAATTTAAAACCTTTTCTCAAAAATCAATGATTTATAAATTAATATTCATAAAAAAAATTACCGTAAATGACTAAATGTTTTCCACGGAACGACGTCGTTTAGGCGCGAATCTCCTCCCCTGCTTCATCACCACCCACACACGATCACTCGAAGTGAGAACCGAACCGGTGGATTCCCATCACACCCCATGTCGGCTCCATCGCCATCTCCTCCCCAACCAAACCTCCTCCCTCCTCCTCCTCCTCCCCACTTCCGTCCTGACAAAGCCTCCTTCCTCCTCAAAACATGCTCAAACTTCCCCCAACTCAAACAAATCCACTCCAAAATAATCCGACACAACCTAACCAACGACCAGCTCCTCGCTCGTCACCTCATAACCCTCTCTTCCTCCTTCGGACAAACCCAATACGCTTCCCTCGTCTTCCGTAACATCCACTCTCCTTCCACTTTCACTTGGAACCTCATGATAAGATCCCTCTCCCTTAACCACAAACCTAAAGAAGCTCTCCTCATCTTCATCCTCATGCTCACAAACCACTGTCAATTCGATAAATTCACTTTCCCTTTCGTCATCAAAGCTTGTCTCGCTTCTTCCTCACTTCGGTTCGGTACACAAGTCCACGGATTAGCTATCAAAACCGGTTTTTTCAATGACGTGTTCTTACAGAACACTCTCATGGATCTTTATTTTAAATGTCGGGAAATTGATTATGCACGTAAGGTGTTCGACGAAATGCCTGGACGGAGTATTGTTTCCTGGACGACGATGCTTTACGGTTTAGTCTCTAACGGAAGGTTAGATGAAGCTGAGATTGTGTTCAGACGAATGCCGACGAGGAATGTCGTCTCGTGGACCGCGATGATCGATGCTTATGTTAAGAATCGGAGACCCGACGAGGCGTTTCAGCTTTTCAGGAGGATGCAGGTTGATAATGTGAGGCCTAATGAGTTTACGGTGGTTAGTATGTTGCAAGCTTCGACTCAGATTGGGAGTTTGTCTATGGGGAGATGGGTTCATGACTATGCTCATAAGAATGGGTTTTTGCTTGATTGTTTTCTTGGGACTGCTTTGATTGATATGTATAGTAAATGTGGGAGTTTGGAGGATGCGAGGAGGGTTTTTGATGTGATGGAGAGTAAGAGTTTAGCGACTTGGAACTCGATGATTACTAGCTTGGGGGTTCATGGTTTGGGGGAGGAAGCTTTGTCTGTTTTTGAAGAGATGGAAGGTGAAGATGGGGTGGAACCGGATGGTATTACTTTTGTTGGTGTTTTGTCTGCTTGTGCGAACACTGGGAATGTGAAAGATGGTTTGAGGTATTTTATACGGATGATTCATTTTTATGGTATCACACCTATTCAAGAACATAGTTCATGTATGATCCAATTGTTGGAGCAAGCTTTGGAAGTGAACAAAGTTTCGAACTATGTTGATTCTTTGGATTCTTCTGATCCGAACCTTAACACTTCATTTGAAGTTGAAAGCACTGATAGAGTGGATGAACGGTACGAGAATTGGAGCCAGCATCCAATTACGTTCTCCAAATGGGATGCAGACTGATTTTGAAGGTTAAGTGTCTCTTGGCATATATTTCTTTTTCCTCTTTTAAACAGATTCATTTGCAATCTTGTTTTTAGCTCTCATGTTTACTTGAAAATGTCCCATAATTGTAGAACTTAGAAAATTGAAGTACAATCTTTGTAACTATACAAGTATAGTTCATGTCTTAGCTCTCATGTTTACTTGAAAATGTCCAATAATTGTAGAACTTAGAAAATTGAAGTTGTACTTGTAGTGTCTTAATCTTAAATATAGACAGGTTATTATGAGTTTGGTTTTTTGTGTATTTTTCAAAGCGATCAACTAACTACCCAACTTTCATTAAAGTCTTATTTGAAACTTCCTGAGACAAGCAATGTTTTAACAACATGCATACAAAGAGAGTAGAAGCAATCAGAAACAGAGATAAAGCTGAGATTTTATTTGGAAGATTGTAGATGAAACAGAGATAGTATTACATAAATTCATTAACTTGAGTTTGGCTATGTTTGGCTTGAGCAACAGCAATCTCAGCTTGAGTTTTGGCCAAAAGAGTTTGGGTTTTCTGAATCTGAGTTTGGAGTAAAGAAATCATCCCAACACATCCATAAACAGGATCTTCTACTCTGCATTTTGCTTCAAAAGACAAAGATTCCACTGCTTCAGCTCTTGACTGAACAGGAAGTTGCTGTCAAATGATCCACCATCAATATTTTTATGCAATAATGTTATCTTAGATAAGGGATTTAGAACATATACAAATATAAACAAAGACTTCATATACCTGAAGCATTTTGGAAACGTTTCCAGCACCATAGATTCTGTGGATACATGCAAATTTATCAGGATCACTTGGAGGGAAATAAGGTGAGAAAATGCAATCTTTTGGACATCTTCTCCTCAGATATTTGCAAGCAGCACATCTTTTAGGATTCATCACAGATTTGCACGAGAGATAGGAGAAATATACCAAAAGATTGTGAAATCTAAGAACAAAGATTTGGCTTATTTGTATTCTTCTTAGTTTCCTTTTCTTTTCCAATGATCCAACGGCTACTTTCCAGTTTATGAAAATTTTGAGGACATTTACACAAGGTAAGATATTAATGTTGATTTCTCATTGTGGCTAATTAGTAGAATGTTACCGTTAAGTGTTAACTTTGTTAAAACTTGAAAGGAAAAATCGGTGTTGCCTTCATTCTCTTTGAGGCTTTAGAGTATCTTTGTTAGAAATGAAAACTTTATTATAGACGATATATCTCAAGCATTTAAGATGGATCAGGGATTCAGGTCTTTGGGAAAAATGATCGGCTTTTTAGTTTTATATCGTTTTATATATGAAATAAGTGTGATTTATTGTAGGTTCTTCAGCCTTCGATTTTTCTTTGATATTGCACTCATTAAAAAGGAATGAAGGGAAAGAAGCAAATAAAAAAGAGATGTCACATGCGCATGCGACATAGTTTGATTAAAAAGAGCAGAAATGGACGGTGAAGACACTCTATCACTCTCATCTTCAGTCTCACATCACTCATGACTTTTGTATAGATTCTCACATCAATATTTTTTTTAACATTGCTCTACAATCTTGTATCGGGTGGATGATTATTGTTATATTAAAAGTTAGGTTTCGTGGTTAGTAGCCATAAAATTATAGGAGAGAATGTGGTCTTTCCACCAAAGCCAAAGTATTATCACTTGGTTCTGCCTCCACTAACAAATTATTCTAAAGTCTAAACCTCCTTTTTGTTTGTAGCTTTTAAGGAAATTAAAGGCTTTTGTGTTATTGTTTTTTTCTTCTTGCGAATATTCTTTCAATTCTGTCTTCTGAAGCCTTTTCATTTTTTTAAAAAATTATCTCTTTTTTTCTTTCACATTTTACATTCAAGCTAGCATTCTCTAGTGTACTTCTCGTCATACATAATCTCAACCTTCTATTTTAACTTTATTATATGAAAAAGTTTCACATTCACTTTACAGTTTGGTGTCTTTTGATATATAAACTAGTTCATTCACGTATTATAAAAGAAGGCTAGCTTAATCGACATATTACAAATTATGGACAGTATTTTGGACAATTAGACCTCTTATCTTCAGTTTACGCTTATATCTACGTAAATTATATGATAGATGGAGAATTAGTAATACTAGTAAAAATCACGTTTTGTTAGAAAGTTCAAGAAACCATAACGATTTAATTTTGTAAGAAAAAAATGTTTATTACAAGCAATAAGTAAAATACCATCAAACCTCTGAAATTGCAATCATACATCATAACACTACAGAAAAAAAGCTGATACAGAAGCCATCACCTTCTTACATCCACAAAAAGGTGGAGAAGGGAAGCAGAAAGAAACATCATGATATGATCTCCCAAAATAACAGAATTTTAAATAAACCATATGCCAAACACAGGTACCTATCGGGATAGAACCGGTGGCATAACTGATCTAAAAAATCTTATCATCTCTAGCACAAAAAGATATATAAAATCTTTTGGGATAATAGAATAACCCTAACTTTATATTAAAGGTTTTATGAAGAGCAAAGTTTTTCTTGGGACGAAGCTATAAATCTCTTGGGATAATAACCATCAATATTACTCTTCTTTAAGCAATAACCGATGCTCGAAGGAACCAAAGGCCCTTGTGTTTTGCCGTACGAGTTCCAACACAAAGCGTGTTGCTGTTGATGAGTTTGTAACCCTCTGATTCCTCCGGAAGGTCGTAACCTAATATCCATCAGATCCACGTTCATGCATGGTACGTTGTTGCTGCATGCAATACGTACCGGTTGTGCCGTGAAACTACCGACGATGTTGTTGTACTTAACGTCCGAAATTGATACTGCGCTAGTTTGATTCTTACACTTGGACTTATCGCAGTAATATTGGTCTATTACTATCGGTACTTGCACGTCTGTTACTTGTATGTTGGAGAATGTTAGGTTCTTGACTACCCCTAATCCTCCCTGCGGATAAACATTCCACGTCATTCACAGAAAACTTAAATTTAAATTTGTATTCTATATGAAATAAAATACTTTGGTAGTATTGATTCAGTTATTGTTAAAATGGAACTAAACCAAACAAAGGGGATTATATCAATGGCAACCGGTTCATTTTATAGTCGAATCTAATATTATACGTTGGCTTTTTTAGTTTTTTGAAATACTAAGATATAGTTTTGTTGTTAAATTGAATAAAAGTGAATTAGAGCCCATTTATATACAAACATGAAAGTTCAATTATAATGTGATACATATCTTTGTAATATATTAAAGATAATGTACGTACCTGCCAAGTCTTGATTCGAACACCGGCAAGAGTGTTCTGTATTGAGATATCCTCAACAATGATATCAGACACACATGCCACAGTCTTATCTTTTCCCAGACTTCCTATGCTGTACACACACACAAAAAAACCAGTAAGACTGGAAGGAAAACAAAAAATATTGTGAAACATATATATTCTTAATCCTTTGTGTGTACTAACCTGATGCCATGGCCAGGGCCACAGCTAATGTGGTGAATATGTACATTAGAGGAGCCAGTTTGAATGGATACACAGTCATCTCCTGTATAATAAAGGGAAATAATTTTTAAACAAAATTTGGAATTTTCAACTTTAGAACTAAAGTCTCCCCGTATAGGTATATGCATATATAATATATAACTAATATTTTTTGTTGAAGTTATTAAATTATGATTTGGGTTTGGCATTTGACTATATTTAGAATCATTGGTGTTTAAACATTTAACTCTTCAGTCCACACATTTATCTAATATGTCTATAAGTTTTAATTATAAATAAAAGAAAAGAGAGCTTTTTAGTTCTGCATGCTTGCTTGTTTGCATAAAAAGTTAGTTTGGGTGACAGTTATACCGTTAAGTGTTGTTGCCAATGATGTCTTTTCCAGTTTTGTGTGTTTTATTTTATAATACTTTTAAAAAGTTTTTACATTACTTATCTCTTTTTTCTAATATTCATTTCACTTTGGCGATACAACGTGGCTACCACTATGTTCAATTATATTTTTAGTTTTCTATTTATGTAATTCAAAATTTTAACTGCATCTCACATACTATTGGAGCAATGGCATGGTAGAAGGCAGAGCAAACTCTAATTCATAAATTATTCCATATGAGGCAATATGTCCATCTTTTACCATACAAACGACCGAAGCGCATGACAAAACTCATAGATTATGCGTATTATCATTCATAGTCACTAGTCATATACATTGAAAGGTATTTATTAATTAGTATAATTGCTTAAGCTTTAGTGGACAAAAAACATCAAGGTCAGTAATCTGATCCGGCTAATTTATTTGGTTTAGAGTGATCATGTGAAAGCTTCTCAAGTTTGTTGGTTTCTTGTTAGATAAAATGATGAAATTTGTAGTAAAGGAATATCAGCTACATACCGCAAGCGATGTTGGAGTGTTGAATCTCGACATTGCGTGTGTTCTGGAGGTGGATGCCGTCGGTGTTAGGGCTATTCTCCGGCGAAGAGATCGTTATGTTGTTGACTTTGACTCCATCGGAATCATCAAACTTCAGGTGACACAATGGGCTGTTCATGATGCTTATGTCACGGACCGTCACGTTGCCACTTGAATAAAACCTAAGTGCCTATGCGTATAAAATAAGCCAATCAATAGGCTTACCAATTTTATTTTATATAAAAAGTTACAAATTAGTCTGATAAAATAATAATAAGCTTATATACTCACCGTTGGTTTCATTGGTGGGATATACTTATTTCTCTTCTGAAAACGAAGACAAAAGCAAAATCATAAAGACGTCTAAATATGCTTTTCATTAAAATTAAACTTAATAATTTCGATTATTTAAGACATAAAATCTTAACTATATTTAAAAGTAAAGGCTGGAATCTCTTGGTTGAACCACTTATCCGGGGTTTAAGTCCAATAATCTACTATGCTGTTTAAATACTGGAAATACAAACGTACTTGAGTTTGATAATTGTCTAAGTTCCACCAGTTAGAGCCACGAGCATCAAGTGTCCCTGAGCCTTGGATGGTGACGTGACTGACCCATTTGAAGTTAAGCCATTGAAACAAGCTTGACTTAGACCATGACCCTATCTTAGCAGGAGCCACTAAAGTTCCTTCTATCTGAACCACCGTGTTCTCATTGCACGGTCCTTGCAGCGTCACCGCCTTCACCATAAACTCTTTCCCTGCCGGAATCTCCACCTTCCCTCCGGCCACTTTACAAGCGGCCTTCCACGCTCCAACCAATGCCTGCGCAGCTCCCAATAATACAAATGTCATAATCAATAAAGAAAATGTCTACATATCTCTAAAACCAAGAAAAGATCTAAATATCTGGTCTGACAAATATTTTAGACATATATTTTCAGCTTTGGTCAAAAAGGAAGAAGTATTTTTAGATAAGAGTGTAACAAGGATGTAAATCTACCTTTTGATGAATCATTTGTTGAAGTATACGACCAAATTTGATCCAAAAAAAAGTATACGACCAAATAAATTAACCAAATAGATTGTGTACCAACAAGTGAAATGACTATATTAACATTCATATTAATAGCACATTCTTTTTTGGAACACTCATATTACGAAGATTAATGCAACGTTCGACTAATATGTCCTCCTTTGCTTTGAGCTTAAAGCATTGATACTGAAAATATATTAATTATATGTGTGCGTACCTTTGAGTCATCTGAGACCCCATCTCCCTTAGCACCGAAGGCGAGGATGTTGAAAACCCCATCATGGGTGGACGGATAAGGGGCGGGTGCAGGAGAGCCGGCCGGGGTGTCTTTAGAATGACGACGGTGTTTGGGTTTGATCCTTTTGACGTGATGTTTACGGCCCTCAACGGAAATGGTGGAGATTGCGGCAGCTATGATAATGAGGCCGAGCAGCATAGCCAAAAGTGGAGAACTCTTTATTATCTTCATATTTTCTTATGTTATGTTTCGTGTTTATTAGTGAGATAGAAAATGCTATAAGAGATGTAGTTGATAGATGAGTTATATAGCAATCATTTTTCCAAACTGACCTTTTCTTTTGAACTATTTTCAGAAGTACCCTTAAAACGCTAAAAGAGAAAAGTGTGTCTTTTAAGTTGTTTAACCCATAAATGGGTGTGTAGTGGTGGCATACGGTGGATTAGGGTGAATGGACGTAAACACGATTCATTGTTTGTAGTGTATACCAAGAATGTTAGTATAAATAAGTAATCTAAGTCCCATAGCGGATATTAAAGCACAAAAAATCTAGTACATATATAGTTATTCTTAGTAAGAGGTATTTTGTGGAATAACGACTCAAAAACACATCCATAAGGAATAAAGCTTAAAACTGATAATATTATAAAGACATTTGGTGAGGACATCAAATTCTAATAAAGCTTTTGACTCATGGTATTAGAGCCAAGATTATGTGTTCCTTGATTTGATAAGAGAATTGTTATACTTTATAAATAATCAAAGTTCCACATCGAATGTTAGACCAAACTTTATTTATATATGTAGTGTAATTCCACTTAACATAAAGTCTTTTAGAGAATAAATTTTATAAGGTTTATATCTAAAGTGGACAATATCATATTAAACAAAGACTTAGACATTTGGTGACGGATAACTGATTTAATTTTTATAGAGCTTATGACCCTCGATCCAGCAAAAACATCTAATCTGGTTCTAGTAAAGCGTATGATGGGCATTTGGTCCGACACAAAAAAAAAAAAACATATACGATCCTTAGTGATTTACCTATAAGTCTTTGGAAAAAGAATGGTTAATATCAAATAAATTCAGTACCCTACATAAACCAGACACATATGAGATATGTCCTATAATATTTACCCACAAAAGTCCCCTAAATCTAAGTCTAGATGCGGTAAGGTTTTTGATTTCTACATATATACTAGATCCAATTTTCTAACCAGTCATGAACTTCTTGGTGGATCTATGCAGTATCTATCACAGCATCCACACTTTTTTGGAACGCCCGCATTTTTTGTTGTTTAAGTTTCTTTTAAGCCATTATTATAAATTTTTGGAGAACTATGTGAGTCTTTTCCCAAAACATAATTAATGTCAGCACAGTGTAACACTCTCTAAATCTAGAACACAACTGCAACCTAGACACTTAATTTCTGTCTTTCTGCACTTTTATAGGTTTAAAATACATTCTTTCCGTCCATTGTTGCTTAATTATTCTAGTGAGCAATAATTTATAGAAAGATGAAAAGCTATAATGTAAATTAAATAACAATATTTAAATGTGCTACTCCACAAAATACAAAATGATAACACAAATGCCAACCAAGAAAGCGTTCTAGCATTATAAAAGAAATGACCATACATCTACATTGCCGTATTCATGTATGTCTGTACATCATGAAAGATGCATGAAACATCTTAGTTATTAATTTACTTTATATGCAGAAAGGTGGCTGCATGTATTAAAAAGAAACTAATTGAGCTGATAATGAATGATAAGACATAGATTATGCTATGAATAATTTTTCACAAGTCCTTAAAAGAAAAAAATGTGATTAGTTTCTGTAATTATCAAAATAAGTTAATGAGCAATGACCTGTAATATTAGAAATTGCTTGTTCCTCAATCATAAGCAACCGTCGTGCACTCCTGCATTATAAAAGCAAAAGAACCTTATCCAAAACTTACATTATACCTACAATTAGTTAGTTCAAAAAGCTGGTTAAATTATTTCAGTGTACTTCACTAATCCAACATTCCAACTAATACAAGTGAGATTCATTAATGTATTAAGGGACACATTTTATTAGCTAGATACAAGTATTAATACATTAGGAAACTTTACATTTATTTGACGTATATGAAAATTATTCATTTATGTATAAAAATATTTCGATGAAATATATTGCTTAAAACTGATATTTGTAATTGAACTGTTTTTGTAATACTGTGGATCAATCTGTGATCTATGTGGTATTTGTTAATTATTAACAAAGAGTTAAAATAACAAAAAAAAAAACTTTCCGAAAAGGTATTTTAATAACTATATATCGAGAGACAAAGAGGGACTATAGAAAGCAACAACAATTATCAAGTAACCAAAGAATTATTATCATCCTTTATATCTGAATGCAAGGGGTTTAATAGTACTAATTTTCCAAAAGAAGACAAAAACCAAAGTTAGGTGTTTGGTGAATTAAAAGCTTATGAGTTTAGGACAAACTTAAGTTGGCAATACACCACTATTCCCAACTAATTATAAGATCCATTAATCATGTAAACTAGTGCTCAAGATGATATTCATCAATTCAGATATACTTAAATAAGAAATTTCATACATATTGTAAATGTGTGACATGTTCTATTTCAAACTTAAGTTTGTGTTCTTGCAATTCTACTTGTGACGTTTTATTCATTATTTACCAGTCAAACTGAAATAGTACACTGGTTTGCAAGCTTTATAGCTCTGTACCAGTAATTGAACATTGTTGAAAAGGAATATAATGCAAAATCAGAGATTTGAACTTATAGTTTCCAAGATAAAATCACAAACGCCATGCACTAGTCTAGTTGTATCAAGACATCTCTTAACATGTAATAATTAAACATAAAATGTTTGAAAGAAATGTTCAATTTTTATTTGTTCTTTTCAGCAAATGTGTTTTGGACTGGGCCTCATAACACACAGCTCCATTATGACATCGAAAGGCTCATTTTTCTATTATGACATTAGAGCATGAGCATCAAAGACTCATCACACAGGTTTACACGCAATTCAAGGAGAAAAAAAAATTAAAAAACCCAACAGTAATGAACTCGTGCCGTTTCGCCCCTCTCTAATGAACCTGTTTCACAATTTTTTGCGGACCCATACCATGTGGTGGCCCGCTGTTGGTTTATTTTTTTATTTTTTTATTTTTTTTAGAAAAAAAAAAAATTAAACGAAAAAAAAAAATAATAAAAAAATCAAAACTTCTGAACCCCAAAGCGGTTCTTTGATGCTGATGGCCTTATAAGGCCACATAACACACAGCTTCATCTACAAAGATATTCTTGTACCTATCATTGTCGACGTATCACGTTGTGTCTTCACCACTGAGAAATAGAGCGATGACTCGGCGTATCAGACAATAGTTAAGATGAACTCCCGTGGGTGTTTAGTTCGAGATTTAACAGTCAATTCTTGTCATTTTGTATGACATAATCTATAGCGTACAGTGATTCTCTGAAAGAAAATGAGCATTTTAAAATTTAAACTATACATGAATAAATCATGCTATTTAAATTAAAATAATACGTAAACACAAGATATCATTGTTTCATGTCCTTTGAAATTCTCCATGTCTAGACTTTTGTGAGTTTTTGGGATTCGGTAAAACGACTGTAATAGTCAACCAAATGGAAGCTCGACTGAAAACGATGGTTGAATTGAAGATATGAGCTCGAATCAAGCAAATTGAAGTTTAACAAATGAAAAAGATGAACAATACCCACGGTTTACAAGTTTGTTTATATTATTGAGACTATACAACCGTCTTTAATCATTGACTTGAACGATTTGTTAAGTGTTAATAGACACCAAAATTGTCAATTTTCCTATATTGTTTTTTTTTTTTTAAATAATATGCTAGCAAAGTGTGCAGATCTCGATTGGGATCTCAAATAAGGTGAAGCTAGGACACTGATGATGGGTTTCAAGAGCCATCAGTGAAGTTCATGATCACCACTACATTCAAAGTTGCATGCATTGGGAAATGCAGTGTTAAGCGTAGTGTTATTTCTTAAGGACTATTCATTGTGCTCGAGATAGTAGGTTCAGAGTTAGTAAAAGAGGACGTCGTGCCTGTTGGGATGGGACTGGTGGCTACTTTTGGCATTGTAAACCGTGTTCTTCGTCGCTTTGTATCTTATTTTAACCCTAAAACGATTGTTTGATCCGCCGTACTACACACCAAAACGAACTGTTTTTTTCTTTTGAAGATTCTTTCCTACCAATTTGTTTAGCCGCCAGGTCTTTTAAATTAACATATAACCTGACCATCGCAATTCAAATAACATGCTCCTTCGTCGTCATTATCTAAATAAGTGTGGTATATGCGAATAACAAGTTTATATTCTCGGCTTCTGTGAAGCACCGCCACGTTCAATGTCTTACTAAGAAATTGAAAAACTGAACATAAAATGTATGCTACGAACAAAATATCTTTGGAGCACCTACATTAGGGGTTCACAATTTTTTTTTACCGTTTAACTTTTTTTTTAAATAATAAAAAAATTAAAATAAGTTGACCAGTTGCGTACAGCCACGTGGCATGAGGCCCGTAAAATAATAGTAAACCGAGTTCACCCAGGAGAACTTTGACGTAACAAGTTCATCACTTTTTGGAAAATCTTTCTTTGGGAAGTGTGAGACCTTTCTATTAAAAGATAATTTGCTAGTATACTCTTTTGAGGGTCAATATTAGACAAATATCCATGATGGGATTGATCATTTTTATGTGACTAAATTACTTTTCCTTTAGATGCATGTGACTCTCTCTCTCTCTCTCTCTCTCTCTCTCTCTCCCCTGACACTCTCTCTCTCCTGACACTCTCTTTCCTTTGATTTCTCTTTTTTTCTCATTCTCAAACTCTCTTATCATGTTAATTCTTTTTTTTTTCTTTGTAAAAATTTATTGCTGCGAAAAAATTTATTACAATTGTACTACTATTCCTTTGAATCTAATTTCATCACATTCTGAAAAAATCAGCATTGAAGTTTTTTTAAAATTCGCCGAGATGTTAACACTTATGTTAGCTGTTAACAAATAATGTAGATATCAACAAAAGTGTTAACTGTTAACAAATACAGTACCAGATGTATTAACAGAGGCATTAACTGCTAACAAATTTTGTAAATGTTAACAGATGTGTTAGCTGTTAACAAAGACATGTATTACAAGTGTTAACAGAGATGTTAATTGTTAATAAATTTTGTAGATGTCAATACATGCGTTAGGTATTATATGTTAACAAATAAATATTGTTGAAGTTTTATTTCTCTATCAAAATGAGTAAATTTAAAAATTATCTACAAATAAAATTGTAGATGAGAAACAAAAATCAAGAAAAAAAGAAAGAAATGAATGTGAAAAAGAGTTATGTAAAAAATATGTGTGGTTTAAATAAAATGAATGTGAGAAAGAAATGAAGAAGCGTTGGAGGAAGAGAGAGAGGTCAGATATTTCACATGGAAAAGAGAAAGTGAGAAGAGCAAAATCGTCTGAATAAGTCTAAATTGTAAAAAAACTTTACTCTTATGTCCCATCATGGTTAATCGCCTAATATACGCTTAGATTTTGGGCATTTGCCTAATTCTCTCTTCTATTAAACTCTTTGTTCTACCTTCAATGCACATGCCTTTAGTCCAACTCCAATTGGACACCAAAACACTAAATTTAGTGTGCTTTCATTTTTATTGGGACACCGAAAACTACACCATCCTACCAAATTTGGTGTAGAATGAATAGTATTACACCAAAATTTGGTGTAATTTCATTTCCAATGAGACACCAAAAATTACATCATCCCATCAAATTTGGTGTAGAGTGAATAGTATTACAACAAATTTTATGTAACACTATTCATCACACCAAATATTTAATATACATATTTTATTATGTTTTATTCACTAATATAGTTTAATTATTATTATTAATTAGTTCAGATTTTGCAACTATATTTAAATATACTATATTATTTGCATTCTTAATTATTTTACATAATTATAATATTTTTATTTTCAAGTAAAAATCACTAATTGATTGTTATCATTCACCATATTGTGATATATTTTTATTTTAAAATATCAATTATAATCTTTATTAAATTATATTTAATCAGTAATTAATAATTTATAATATTACATTGTAAATTATATTTAATAGTAAATAATTAAAATTAATGTAGTACTATCAAACTAATCAAACACTAAAATAAATTTTTTAGTTTTTGTTTTATAATATAAATAAACTTGCATTACTAGCTGATAAAATTTTTATTAAATCAATATATTATTCTGTTATGTGCTTTTCATAATTAATAGTTTGTAATTTTAATATAATATTATATAGCAAATCTAAATGTATAGATTTATTAACTTAAATTACAAAAAAAATAATAATTATAATATATTATAATATCTAAGTGTGATAAACAATTGTTTATCAGTTATAAATAAAATTATAAAAAGTTATTAAAACTAAAAATATTAAATAATATATAATATTACTTTTGATGTAATAATTGATATCATATTTGGAAATGACTAAAAGGTTTTCACACCAAAACATTAAATTTCGTGTAATTTTAATATTAAAGATGCCCTTAGAAAGACTGTTATTATTATTTAATTTGACCCAAAAAATTATTTAATTTGACCAAAATTGTAACCAAGGGCCACATGTCATGTGGTAGGTAGCAAAAATACATTTGAGTTCATCCTATATTTAATCATAATTTTACTACACAACAATCTTTGTTCCACATATGGCAATTAATTTATTGCAATGCTAGTTGCTAAATAGTTACTTTCTCTTCATTTGAATATGTATATACATATATGCAAACTTTTTTGTCAATATAATAAATTAATAACACATATTCACTATATAATTTATGAATGATTAATCCCAAGATCCTCATTCTTTGGTCTTTAAGTCTTTGACCTCCTTTAATCTCTCTCTCTCTCCGACATGGGAAAAGACACAAATCTAACGGAGGCGCTTCTTACGGCGGAAAACCCCGACCCGACGACCCATCTTCCCTTCTCACCCGCCAATGATATTCCTCTGATCACAACCATTGGTGGATTCGTCAAGGAGTTTAATGTGGAGGCTAAAAAGCTATGGTACCTGGCCGGTCCCGCCATTTTCACGTCCTTGAACCAATATTCTCTTGGCGCCGTTACTCAGGTATTCGCCGGCCACGTCAGCACCATCGCTCTCGCCGCCGTCTCTGTGGAAAACTCTGTTATCGCCGGATTCTCATTTGGCATCATGGTAAGTTATATTACACCCGAGTTTGCGTTTATCATTGATCACATGTAGACCTGGTTTAGCCTTTTAATTAAAAAAAAATATTTAAACCTGGTTTAGATTCTACTATTTATGATTTTCTAAAAAATTATTTCCATTTTTGTTAAAATTAATAAATACTACTCTATTTATAATTATACGAGGTTGACGTTAGGAGGACTTCTATGCACGTCTATCGAAAAAAAAACATACTTTTTGTTGATCGATTTATTATCCGATATGGTTGAACTCGGTGTGTTCGGGTACTCTCGACTGTCTGTGCACAGTGCACCAAGTCATTATTAATTTCGTTTTTTATAACCAAAAACAGTTAACCAATCGTACATCTATAAAAATAGTTATGTTTAAACAAAAATATAATATTTTTTGAAACTAAAAATATCACATTTAATATTCTCATCTACTTTGTGAACGTGATTAGCTTGGTATGGGAAGTGCGTTGGAAACGCTATGTGGGCAAGCGTTTGGAGCAGGGAAATTGTCTATGCTTGGCGTCTACCTGCAGCGATCATGGGCGATCCTAAACGTGACGGCTCTTATCCTCACTCTCCTCTACGTCTTCGCCACCCCAATCCTCGCCTCCATTGGCCAAACTCCGGCGATCTCTAGCGCCGCCGGAGTCTTTTCCATCTACATGATCCCTCAAATCTTCGCTTACGCGGTTAACTTCCCAACCGCGAAGTTCCTCCAATCGCAGAGCAAGATAATGGTCATGGCCGCTATTTCCGCGGCTGCGCTTGTTCTCCACGTGCCCCTCACGTGGTTTGTTATGGAGAAGCTCAAGTGGGGCATGGCGGGTCTAGCCGTCGTGCTTAACGGCTCGTGGGTGTTCATTGACGTGGCACAGCTCGTGTACATATTTAGTGGCACGTGCGGTGAAGCTTGGTCTGGTTTCTCGTGGGAAGCTTTTCATAACTTGTGGGGTTTCGTTAGATTGTCTCTGGCTTCTGCTGTTATGCTCTGGTGAGTCTACACCCGACCTGTCTCTTTGGTTAATTTTGTTATTAATGATACGTTAATTTATTTTTTGTTTTGTTTTACTTTTGAAGTTTGGAGGTTTGGTATTTTATGGCAATCATATTATTTGCTGGATATTTGAAGAATGCTGAAGTATCAGTAGCTGCTCTCTCCATCTGGTAACTATTAAATTTTATTAGTATTTGTTACAAATTTACTATATATACACGTTAACTCAACGTCATTTTTTTGTTTAAAAGTCACTGAATGTCATTTACGCACTACTGATGTTCAGTTTCTTTGTTTTAAAAAGTTATCATCAATCAAGATCTTCTTTAAGAAATTTATAATTAATACAATATTGTGCAGACACCATGCAGCATGGCAGACTTAAGTGTACGTTATCTTTTAGCCGTTGCTTTCTTGAGCATGAAACCCTACTAGTTAAATAATTTGATTGGATTAATATTATTAAACTTTTTCATATCTTTCTGGAGATCTCTATCTTTCTGCAAAGTTTAACTTTTTAAAAAAAAAATATCACTATATAAATATGTATACACCAAAGTCGACTGTCGAATAATGTCCACCAGCTCATTGTACTTTTTGTCAACATACATATAATAATAAGTAATATGAACATAAAGATATTGTATAGTAGAAAATGACTATTAAAAGAATTATTCTCTTTGGATCATCTAATCATTTTTTTATAATAAATGGAAATTGAAGCATGAACATTTTGGGATGGACCGCCATGGTTGCTATTGGGATGAACACAGCCGTCAGGTAAAACCACGTGCCTTTCACTGTTTCACACATGGACAAATCAAAATCTTATTTTTCGTTGAACTCTGGCGTATAACTTTTAAGAATATAAACATTTGAAATTATCTCAAACTGATGCAGTGTGAGAGTGTCCAACGAATTAGGAGCAAACCATCCAAGAACCGCCAAGTTTTCACTAGTAGTAGCAGTGATAACATCGACGATGATTGGGGTCATTGTATCGACCGTGCTACTCATCTTTAGGAATCAGTACCCATCACTATTTGTGGGCGATGAAGAAGTCATCATTCTTGTTAAAGAACTCACACCAATACTTGCACTCTCCATTGTCATCAACAATGTGCAACCTGTCTTATCAGGTAATCCGTATAAACTATCTCAAAATAAAAACTCGTTCGATTGGGTTTGATTCAATCTCTGTATTCTTAGTCTTAGATCATATATAGTTTATCTTTTAGCTTGATTAGTTTAGTTTTCTTTTCTAGTTTGACTTATTGGTTTAGGTTTGGACAATGGTCTTTTGGTGCGGTTCTTGTTTTGGGGTTTCGGTTATGGTTTGTGAATAGTATGTCCGAACTAAAACTAGTTCTGTTTAGGTAACGTTTTGTTTAAGCTTGGATTAATCAAATATTGTCTTTGTTCTTTTTTTTTTTTTTGTAATTGCTTGTTTTTCTATTATTCCAGTGTTCATTTTAGCCAGTTTCTTATAATATCACATCCGTGTTGTGTGAATATATAAATATGTTCGGTAATTCTTAGATATAAGGAAATATACGTCTAATAAATTACACGGGGTTATGTCGTTTTTTTATGTGAGAAACTTATTTGATAAATCCAATGGCAATATATGCTAATAAATGGAAAATCAGGGGTGGCTGTGGGAGCTGGATGGCAAGCAGTGGTGGCGTACGTTAACATCGCATGCTACTACTTGTTTGGAATCCCATTTGGTCTATTGTTAGGATACACGCTCGACTTTGGTGTAAAGGTAAAACCCAAAGTCCACTATCATCATATTAATTTACACAAGCGTTGAAAACGTGAAGGTTCAGAACCTAAAAGACCAATGTTGCAAAATCTTTGATGTATTAGGGTATCTGGTGTGGGATGTTGACGGGAACCGTGGTTCAGACAATAGTCTTGACGTGGATGATCTGCAAAACAAATTGGGACAAAGAGGTAAAAGTCAACATCATTGGAAAAAAATCTATACTTTTGCTTCAAATTAAAACACTTTGATGTTCTAGCTTATTACAACCGATATGTGCTGTTATGTAGGCTGCAATGGCTGATGATAGGATAAGAGAGTGGGGAGGAGAAGTATCAGAAATAGAGCAACTCTTAAACTAAAAAGACATTACGTAAACTAGTATCCATATTAAATAAAACTCAGTTCAACAGCACTTTGTATCTTAATAATAAGAAGACAAAGTTAGTTTTGCATTCAATTTGATAGGGATGGACGGTATGCCACACATGACGTGTGAAGCCCTAGAATTAGGTAACGGAATGCTAAAAATGCGGTCGTTGTTGTTTTACGGAATGGTACATTTATTCCATAATTTCTGAAAACCAAAACCATAAGTGTGGAATCGTAGTAAGGCTTTAAATCGAAAATCCTAGTCTCCTGGATCAATATATATAACTTTAAGCGTCATAAGTCAAGCCATCGAACAAGTATAGGACTTTGTATATATAGTTGTAAATCGTTTAAAACAGGAAGAATCAGTTCTAGTACATACATATATACAAGCTTAGTTTAAGACATTAATATTCATTCATCGGTTTAGCGGGTCCAGTTTCCAAAACCCAAAAACGATCAACATAAGATCACAACGGTTGTTCACAACGTTAAGTGAAGACTACCATTTATTTTGTGGGAGAGTGAATAGAAAAAAAAAACATTATTTTGTAGTGATTTGTTGATATAAAGTCTTAAAAAGAAGAAAGCAACAAAGATATCTAATAATGGGAGCCCCTTACCAGTTTCCGTAATTGAATACGGGCGGACGTACGTTACATCAAACGGGGTCACGTGCCCCGACTGGGTCAGGATTTATGTAAAGGCCCAAACTAAATGTTCTCCTAGATTCGTCCCTGAATACACACACCTTAGAACAAATAGAAGTCTCTTGATGCTTGTAGTATACCAGATCCTGGCAACGTTTGATACAGCAACTGCAAACCGGTCGACTATTACCACTATTGCGAACAACTTCTAGAGTACAACCAACATGGCATAATTTAAAGCCAGGCTTCATATACATAGAGGATCCCAATAAGCATCCAACGTGTATAGTAATGCAACATTTTGAGCTTGTGTAGAACCATCTCGTAGGGTCTATCTTTTTCTCGCAAGTCTCACACCAATAGGTGGCGTCCACGTCTTCACCATAGCAAAGAAAGAGTGGATGTTCAGCATGTTTGTAGTACACCTCATCTGGAAGGGTGGCGCAAGAATAACACAATATAAATTCGCACTGAGTACATTGTAGTCGAGATTTTCGGGTTTTTCTTGGCCCCTTACAACCTTGGCAGTAAAACGTATCTTCGCTTTCAAAGCATGTGTTTATGAATAGGGGATGTACATGACATTTATAAGTGGAAATATCGGGAACCAAGACGCATCGGATATCCATGATCATGTGGCAATCGAATCTAGAACATGTGTACTGAAAACCGGTAAATAGTCGGCCACAAGTTGAACATAACCTTCTGTCGTTTGGTAGAGATGGTTCTAGGAAAAGAGGATGGTGATGTGATGCATGACACAATTTTCGAGGAAGACTAGCACATACCTCATGGAGATAGAACTCGCATTGCATACAAGTGTAGAAATCAGGAGAATCCATGGGAAAGATGCAGGCCTCGCATTGCTTATCTGCATCTCTAACTCTGTCATAGCTCTGGAGCTTCAAATGATGCTCATGACAAAAATATTTGATCAGACCCTCACCCACTTTTTCAAATGGCGCAATATCTTCAGTTTCATTGGTCTCTTCCGGTTCCCATTCAAGCTCATTTCCATCCCATACTTTCTTATGCGTTGCACATTTAGAATGAGCTACATAAGAGCATCCGTCGTGATTGCAAAAATATTGGCCATACTTGATATCAATTTCCTTGTAACAGATCTGACATGTTGAAAAGTCAGGTGGGAAAAATGGAGTGTAAGAGAGACGATGTGGATGACGCGTGATCTTTATCTCGCGTGGTAAGTCGATACAACTTTGATGGACCAGGTAATGACACTGGGAGCAAGTATAAACCGGCTCCGAAATGTTGACCAACCCACAAGCATCACATGGGAGTAAAAATGGTCGAGGGAAGAAATGGAGTGGATGGTGATGACATTTTGGATTTGTGATGGTTTGAGGTGGAGTCTTGATCGAGCAGTCAAGATCCAAGCAAAAGCCACAGATAGAGCAACGATAGAACGTATTGCCGAGATCTCTTCCACACCAGTTGCATTTATTGAAGACGAAGTTGGACTCCCCTTGCTCTTGTATTCCGATCCCGGTTTCATCATTCCGAGTAATGAGATTGAGAGGATGTTGGGAGTGATAGATGTGCCTAACTTTTCTTCGATAATTGTAACCATCAATGGGAAAGTTATTGCCGCAACTTGCGCGCACCCCAACATCGTGAAAATGAGGGTTAGCTGGATCTTTACAATTCATTGCGCCCATCTCTAATCTGTTTTTAGTTCTGTACCTTACTCTCTGTGTTTCTCTAGTTGGGAAAATGTAAAGAGAAACAGCCTTGGTACATTTCCTTGATACACGTTAACGGCCAATGCACCGTTTAATATCTTAAAGCATAAATAATTACTGAGTAGATAAATTTATAAACAACTTGTCAATAAAAGCATCAAATTTTCTTTCATATTTCAGAAGACATGTCTCCCACTCGAGGCAAGTTTATAAATATGTTAAGGTTTTTCAAAGATTTTGTAAATATGATTTAGCACGATAGGCGGAATTGTATATGTTATCTTCAATACGTGGACCAGAAATCAATACACATGCACGTGAATTGATGGTTGTCTCAAGACAAGCCACGTGACATGAATTTGCAAACTTCTTCACAGACATCAAACACTTTTTATCTACAATGAGATATGATTTCATCTACTTGCAAGTTTATACATCCAAATGAAATATAATTACAAGACAAGTGAGAGACACCAAACAGTACAAAGCGTTTTCCTCCTCTTTCACTTTATCTTTGTACCAAAAGTGCTGCTCCAACTAAACCGAACCAGAGTGTCAAAGAAAGCCAAAAGACTTTGTTCTTCTCCATCCCCACAGGTGGTCGCCAAACCAAGAGCTTTCCTAGAAGGTCGTCTTCACTCGAGTTGAGCTGATTCGTGGTCGAGTCATTCATTCTCCTATCCCTGTCCCTCTCCTTGTCACTCCATGTCACTGCATAGCTGTGTGCAATATAAACATCAAAGAAGTGATGTGGATACGCATGAGCCAAGATGAGACATAACATAAATGAATACCTGTCATAGCTTGAACCAATCATTGGTATAGTAACCATTTCCTCCTGAGAGATCTTAAGCTTAGGAGCTTGCAAGATATACCTAAGCTCCGAAGCTTGGCGACGAATACCAGGACTAGGGTGTCTCTTCTCTAGTTGCTGATAAAGATCAATGCAATCAGCGTGCCGATTATTGGCCTCATATGCCATAGCTAACCAAATTTGAATCTGGCCAATCAACAGATCATTAGCAAATCAACTCTTTTTCTTTTTACAAACAGTACCTAAATGGTGTTTTATCAACCAACCTCACCACCAAAGAGCGTTGGCCTTGGGATAATTGTAAGAGCTCCTTCTAGAAACTCTATTGCTCGTCCATACATCCCTTTACCATAAGCCTTTTGACCCAACTCAAACATCAACTCTGCAGTTGCTCTCCTCTCTGCCTGCTCCTGAGCTACCTGCTCTCACCAATCTCTTCAATCACCAAATCTCAACTCTTCAAATTTCATTGTTTTTAGAAACTTTCCAACTAAACTAAGACCATGATGGTTAAGGTAAGATTCTTAGCGGAAATTAAAAAACGGTTTCTTAATTTTAACTAAAAAAAAAGCAATGAACCAGTTCTTAAAGTCATTTGTTTTTTTAATTAAAAGTAAAGAAACAATTTTTTAATTTCTGCTAAAAAGCTTAGCTTAAACCCCCCCCCTTAAGAACCCCACCTTAATCATGCTCTAATCTTTTCTTTTTAAAGAAACTTAACTAATCTTTTTTTTTTGACAAAGAACTAAACTAATCCTAAAAGCTTCATGAGCAAGTAACATCAACATAACCCTAAAAGTAACGCACCTTTTCGAGCTCTCTTTTAACCCTCATCCTCTTCTTCTCCTCTGAATCATCATCACCACCTTCCTCATCAATCTTATACTGCAACTCCTCTGCTTTCCTCTCAAGCTCCTTCATATCCTGCAACTCTTTAACTCTCCTCTTCATATCCTTCTCAACATCGTACCCTTCATCTTCTTCCTCATCACCCTCCTTTCCGTCACCACCGTCGTCGCTCGATCCCGCCTCGTCGTAATCCACCGCGTTAGCCCTGGAATTCGCCTTTCCACGTGTCAAACTCCGGCGAATCCGAGCCTCTCCGTCTGATTCGAGACGCTTGTTGGATGAGAGAGCCGCGTAGTGAGAAGTGACGTAACTGTGAGAATCTCTCTTCGGGAGATTCAGGACGACGTCGACAACCGTTAATCGAATTCTCCGATCAGTGATCACCGTGCGATGAGAGTTGACGTCGAGTAAAAGCGCCACGTTTCCGAGAACCGCCGCCATGGAAAAAAACACGAGTGGAAACGAGGAAGAAGTAGAACCAGAGAAGCAAAGAGATAGCTTTGGTCGGGAGATATCTCTAATTCGTGGTGACAGTTAATGATGTGACTAGAGTACCCTCGGATTTTTAATTTGAGATTGGGTGAGCAGACGGTGCGTGTGAGGGTAGTTTAGTCATTAAGTAGGAAGTCGTGTCGATTTTATTAGGGGACGCGTGTACGAAAAGTAAGAGATGCGCGCGTCTCACGAAAACTACATGACGTATGAGACTTGACGTTTCTCTGATAACGAAACAAACACCAAGACGTTTTCGGAAGGAAATAAACGACATCCACTGTTACTCTATTTTAGATGAACGACGAGATGAACAGTGAATTTAGTTAGGATGGTAGGAGTTTTTAATTTAAAGATTTTAGTGTGGTTTAACAACAAAATTATAATGAATTCTTATTTCAACTATTACTATCTACAACTTTCATAAAGTAGAATCATTTTAAACTATGTAGTGAATACACAATTGTAACCAAGTGATAGCTAGTGGTAATCTTTGGGAGCTCAACATGTATGTATGTTGGTTTTGAATTCGATTTTGTTTTGAAATTAATCTATCACTATTTGGTATGGTTTTGAATTTCAATTCAGTGGTTAATAGTTAAGGGCAATTCCAATAGAGTTTTTTGCCAATTTTTTAGCTCCAAAATCTAGATAAAAAAGTTGATGGGTTTTGCAATATATTAAGATTTGGCTTCTCCATATCCTTATTTAAGGATCAATTCGTTTAGAGTATCGTAACTGTTTGCAGGCCCCGCTGTTAGATACTTAGATGACGGTCAGCCATTGATTTTTTTTTTAGCTGAAAACAAAAAATTCTAAGGATTTTTACCCGAATTCACGGTTACGGATGGTTTAATATGTTGGATCATATCAAATGATTTGGATGGTCTAATATGGTGGATCATATCATATGATTTGTCCATCTTTACCATTTAGTCGAAAGCATTTCATATAAAGATCTCTATAATATTATTTGAGAAGTCATTTTCCTATGTGGCGCGCTCACGTTAACTCTTACACCGGTTGATTACTATGATACTCTTAATGAATATATTTAAATAGTATATTTAAATAATATTATTAATTTTATGTTTAGTTTCCTTTTTAAAACATTCTAAATAAATTTTATAATAAAAAATTTAAAAACGAAAATATATGTTTATATAATATGATTTCATTAAAAAAGAAAGTTCACAAAATAGTAATATACTATCAAAATAGTAAAATAGTATTATTAATTTTGTATTTAGTTTCCTTTTTAAAAATTTCCAACTAAAATTTATAATAGAAAAAAACATCTATAAAATTTAAAAGGAAAAATTAAAAACGAAAATATATGTTTATATAATATGATTTCATTAAAAGGGAAAACTAACAAAATAGTAACATCCATTGAAAATATTTTAAATAACATAAAATGTACTTTTTAATTAATAAAATACTTTCTTTATATATGTATTTTCTTATATGAAAATATATATTTTTATATAATGTGATTTCATAACAAAATATTCACACATATAATTTTGATATTTGAAAAAAAAAATTTACTTTTAAACATAATTTTAAGTAACATAAACAAGTATATGTTTTTATTAACTAAAATAGTTTTTAATTAAAATTATTGAATATTTTATTTATTTTCATATATTTAGTTGACTATAGTATCTTTCAACTAAAGCAAAAAAAAAAGAAATCTATAAATTAAATTTTACTTATATAATATGATTTCTCAAATACAACCACAATTTTTACTGCTTATTTTTAAGAGAAATTAAAATATTTTTTAGCAATAAACATCTTTTAATCAAATAATTACAAAATATTTTAAAATATCATACCACTATATACTTTAATGACATAGATATGTTATATTCTATCATTTTTAAATTATATGTTTCTTATTTTTTTTTTAATTTTATGTTTGTGTAACTTAATATAACCATAATAAAAATACCAAAGCAAATCCGAATTCTCATTTTTAAGATTATTTAAAATAATTTCAGTTTATCAATCAATAAATCTAACATATAAACTTATTTAGAATTTATAAAATATTTTAGTTATTGTAAATATTGATATGTGTTCATGAATCTCCAAAAATATATGAGTTACTTAAGTATGTAACTTCCTACTGATTATTGCTTTATTTTCTACTATATTTTAAAGAAAAATATAACTTGATAAATATTATGAAAATACGTGCACATTTAAATGATAAATAATATTAATTTAATTTGATTTATTTTGTGAAATTTATATATATGCATGAGACTTCAAAGATTATCTTTATATCAATTGATGTAATTTGAAATCAAAACTATTTTATATTTCATTATAGGCATAATATATCTTAAGTTATAAATAACTTTTCTAAAATATATTGACATCTGAGACAGCAAACAACCTAAAAGTAAATAATAGAATTAATCAAAATTTAATATATTTAGAATAAAGAATATTATAGTTAAATTCAGATAAAAGAATGTAATCTAATATACCCAAATAATAACAGTAAAATCGACTATAAAATAATAAAATTGACTAGATATAATATTTCTAAGATAATATGTCTAATTAAAGTAAAATAATATTATTAATATAAATCATGTATGCAAATTATAAATTAATTGAAAATTAAAAGTAAATAGTAATCAATTATTATAGTAAATTTACTTAATAAATATTTATACATGTGCATGAGCACGGGAAAATCACCTAGTAGTAGGATATATAAAGAAAACACCTTTGATGTGTTTAAAATATTTTTACAATTTAAATAAAATTTTAACTCTGGTTTGTTTTCAATTCGGTTCTCGGATTCAATTACAAATGACAAACACAGGTTAATACACATAGAAACTTCACCGATTGGTGAAAAAACCAGAATCACAGGGAGGGAACAATCTCCACATATAGATAGTTTTATGGTTTTCAAATTCAAATCAATCAAAAGCCAAACAACATATAACAACAACAACAACAACAACATCAGTTCTTCCTCTCACAACACAAAAGCTAAAATCTTGGTAAAAACCCAAGTATACACCACAGCAAGCGTAGCTCCCACAGGAATCGTAACAAGCCACGAAGCCACAATCTCCTTAACCGTCTCCGCCCTCACACTATTAAGCCCCCTCGCAAACCCAACACCCATCACCGCTCCAACCAACGTATGCGTCGCCGATATCGGAAGCCCTAACTTCGAAGCAAACAAAACCACAGTCGCTGCAGCAAACTCCGCAGCGAACCCCCTCGTCGGCGTAAGCTCAGTGATCTTCTTCCCTATCGTCGCAATCACTCTGTACCCCCACATCGTGAGCCCCGCGACGATCCCGAACCCTCCCCACGCGAGAACGTCGAGTGGAATCACTATCTCCCCACCACCACCTCCTGACCCTGCTCCTCGTTGGAGGATGCTTAAGGCTGCGGCTAGTGGGCCTATTGCGTTGGAGACGTCGTTGCCTCCGTGAGCGAAGGACATGAAGCATGCGGAGAGGACTTGCATGTAGCCGAAGACTCCGTAGACTATTTTGAGTTGTGTCCCCGTTGGGCCTGCGATGTCTGAGAGGAAGCCTATTTCTTTGGGCTGGGGTTGGGATGATGTGTCTAGCGGTTTTGTTTTGGTTTTAGCTAGGAGAGGGCCCAGCTTGTTGCGGATGATTCGGTCGAAAATGATGGCTCCTGCTGCTCCACAGGCTAAGGCTTGTGATAGAGCTATGGGGAAGGTTTTGCTTAAGGGGAATGCGGCTGAGGAGATGCTTGCTATGCCTACGAATACGGCGACGGGAGCTGCTGCTGCGGCGGCTTGTCCTGGGTTTGGTGCACTGTAAACAAACTGCACAGAACCAGAATAACAGTTTGCGTATGTAGCAAGAAATGACTTAAGTTATACAAAGTTTGGTTTGTTTTGTTTTTACTTACTCTCCTGATGCATTTGTAGACAAGGAAGGAGACTAGAGCTCCCATTACAGGAGAGATGACCCAAGATGAAGCCACTTTAGCTAAAGAACTCCAGAATACAGCACCAGCTCCACCGTAGACTAATCCAAACCCAACCATTGACCCGACGATGCAGTGAGTTGTGGATACTGGCCATCCATAGTAAGAAGCCACCTGTGAAAATTCATAATTACACAAACATTTTCACCATTATGTTCTCTAGCTACTTGTATAATTTTGGGGAAAGCTATCTTGGGAAAGGTGTAAATGTTACTACATATAGAAGCATAATTGTTTTTATGCACTGCAATTAGGTTCTGTACTTGTATCATTTGTTATTATTGCCATCCTTAAATGTACCAATTTTACTACTCCCTCTGTTTCATTATAAATGTCATTTTAGAGTTATGCATATGGATTAAAGAAACAATTATTTTGTAACGAAAAAAATTTCTCTACAATGACACTTAATATGAAACGGATGGAGTAAATCTTTTTTAATAAAACTAGTGAGGAAGAGGAAAAGACAAGATGGGAACCTGTAACCAAGTTCCAGCGGCAGCCAAGGAAGAGAGAAGACCCGCGAAAAGCAACATATCTTTCCCTTGGAACACATTAGCCATGAGAATCCCTTTCTGCATCGTGCTAGTCACGTGAGTTCCCATCAAAAGAGCACCTGAGAATTCAAGCACTGCAGCCGTGATCACAGCTTGCCGGATTGTTAGTGCTCCGGATCCAACGGAAGTCCCCATGGCATTGGCCACGTCATTAGCTCCGATGTTCCACGCCATGTAGAAACCAAAGAGTAGTGTGGCGTAAGAGAGAATCTTGGTCTTGAGAGCGAGTCCTTGTCCCAGGGATTTCATGAAGAGGGGTAAGGAGAGAGCAGAGAAGGCGATGACTATTGTGATTGCCCTCGCTGTTTTGGACGAGATGTTGAAAGCATTAGCCATTCCAGAAAAGTCTCCAGTAACAGCTTCTGCGCTACGTTTTCCATCTGATTCTTTAGGAGTGGTGGAAGCCTCGTGAGGATTCTGTATCTGTTGATCGTCATGGTGTTGCTCTTCTCCCTCAGCATAAGAAGAGAAGGTAGCTAAAGGGGAGACGAGTTTCAGGGGAAGTGAAGTGTGTTTCTGAGGAGAAAGGAATCGGGCAGTACTGTTCTTCTTGAAGGAAGGAGATTCCTTGGGAGAGAAACAACCAATAGCTGATCTTGGTATGGAGAGGTGAGAAGTCTTAAGTAGAAGAGAGTGGTTTCTAACCGAAGAGAAACCATGAGGAAGAGTCATGTCTGGAAAGAAGGATGTATGAGTATGAGAATCTACAGAGATGGGATATGGGCCAAGGATGATGGTGGTGATGAAAATGGTGTTGCATAATGGAATTTTGATTTCAGGAGACGAGTAAGAAGGTTAGTAGTGATGGTGGCGCCGGGTAACGTGAGGTGGAGGTGAGAGGATTGAGTTTGGATGCTTCTTTGTGTTAGTATAGGCGTTATGAATTTGTGTGGTTCTTGTGGAGTTTTAAGTAAACAAGAGAGAGGAGGGGATCTTTGAGTTGGGCTCAAGGACCTCACAAATGCCCACTTGTAAAAAAGTAGAAAAAAGTTTGGGAATTTTTGTTCTTTGGATGGAGTAAAAGAAGAAAATTAGGTAGCACTTCTTAGATTTTCTATTTGAACGTGGTATAAATGATTTTTTTTTTTGTTTGACAAAAAATCACAATGTTTTATTCAGAAAAATATCTGAATTGAACGTATATGATCTCTTATTTTCAACCTAAAAGACGCTCTGATACTATATTAGATGATAGTGATTCTATTAATTTCGTAAAATTTATAGCTAAGATATTTACATGTTTATATACTCTACTCTATACTGAACTAAACCTTTAGTAAATTACATTTACAATTATACTGGAAGATAAACCATTTCAATGGCTAATAAGGTGACACCATCTTCTCTTACTGACTTTTCTGTTACAAAAGCTTGATTGCATCTCTCTAATCAGTAATCTCTTTTTTTAATGAATATAAAATTTTGTATAACCAAAACCTTTGTTACATCTTCTATTGTTGATTTGTATAATGAATCGAAGAAAAAAAAACAAATCAGAATTAAAAAAATATAGAATAAAAAAACCAAAAACATACTAGCAAAAATAAAAAAGGCAGTAGAAATCGATATCTATAAACCAACTCTATTTTTCGGTTCATCATCGTGTTCCTTTAGTATCGACCATGGCGAAGAAGGAACCAACAAAACTGAATCTACCTAAATGAAATTAAGGTTTGCACAATAAAAGGAAACTTAACAAATAAACTACTCTATTACTTCATTTATTTGAAATGAACTAGATTTCAATTTTATAAGATTATTATATACAAATAATATTTGTTGAAAAACAAAATATACACATAATATTTAGTCGTTTATTAACAGATTGATTTACTAGAACAGATCAAGTGTTAAAATCTAAAAAATAGACATCCCACATAATTAGAGTTTGAAATCCAAATTTGTAAATTGATATAAAACAAAGTGTTTGTCAACTGCCTCAATACATCATATAACACCATGATTGTGTAAGAATACATTTGATGTGTTCTTAACTTCTTGTAGCTCAACATAATTGTAAACAAAATCTTGACCCAAAAAAAAAATTGTAAACAAATGTTCCAGGCTATAATTAAAAGATATATAATTGTTTTTGCCACAAAAATATAGAAATCAAAAACTTTCCATATTTAGAAGTCATAAAATAAACTTATTGGGCCTTTACATAGACAAAGCCCAAACAAAAAGTAATAGGATTCGCAACCGCCTAAACAAAATCATAAAAAGAAAAATCTCCATAAGAGAGAAGGTTTAGAAGAAACCAAAAAAAAAATCGAAGAAGAAAGAAAACCCTAGAAATCGAATTTCATCCAGATCCAGAAACTATCGAGTATCTTTCGCGTTCCTTTGGTTTACAGCCATGGAGAAGAAGGAACTCAACAAACTTAACTATCTCTCTCTCGTCTCCAACATCTGCAACGAGCTGGAGACGCATCTAGGTCAAGCGCCCAAGGAATTAGCCGAATACATCATCCACCTCGGCCGCAACTCCGAGACCGCCGATGAGCTGGATAAGAAGCTTAAGGAGGAGGAGACAGAGCTTCCTGATTACTTCGTCCGTTCCCTGTTAACCGTAATCCACGGGATCTACCCTCCGAAGCCTAAGTCCGATGACGTGGACGAGGAGGGAGGAGAGAAGGGGAGATTCAAAGGCTTGGCGATTAAGGATACTAAGGATAAGGTTAGGGAGATTGAGAAGGAGATTGAGATGGAGGCTCGGGAGAGGCAGAGGGAGGAGGATCGGAATAAGGGGAGAGATCGTAGGGATAGGGATAGGTATAGAGATAGGAATCGTGGAGATGATGATGGTGATGATAGAAGAAGTGATAGGTATAGGGGAAGAGACGGTGGTGATAGGCATAGAGGAAGAGGAGACGATGGAGGTGATAGGCGTAGAGGGAGAGACGATGGAGGTGGTGATAGGTATAGTGGGAGATCACGTGGTGATGATGAAGGAAGAGATGGGAGAGGTGAAAGGGGTAGAGATCGTGGTGTGCAGGATGAGTATACTGGTGCTAATGAGCCTGAGTTGTATCAGGTATACAAAGGTAGAGTGACTAGGGTGATGGACTCGGGGTGTTTTGTTCAGTTTGATAGGTTTAGAGGGAAAGAAGGTTTGGTTCATGTTTCTCAGATGGCTACTAGAAGGGTTGATATGGCTGAGAGTTTGGTGAAGCGGGATATGGAGGTTTATGTTAAAGTTGTTTCTATTAAGGAAGGTGGTAAGTATAGTCTTTCCATGAAGGATGTTGATCAGAACACGGGGAGAGATTTGATTCCGTTGAAGAAGCCGTCAGATGATGATGATTTGGGGAGGAGTAATCCGTCTTATAGAGCCAGGGATGGGCAAGTGACCAAGACTGGGATTTCAGGGATTCGGATTGTTGAGGAGAGTCATGTCGCGCCTTCACGTAGGCCGTTGAAGAAGATGAGTTCCCCTGAGAGATGGGAAGCGAAGCAGCTTATTGCTGCTGGTGCCTTGAAAGCGAGTGAGTTTCCGGATTATGATGAGGATGGAGATGGGATGCTTTATCAGGAAGAAGGTGCTGAAGAAGAGCTTGAAATTGAGATGAACGAAGAAGAACCTGCTTTCTTACAAGGGCAAACGAGGTACTCTGTTGATATGTCTCCTGTTAAGATTTTCAAGAATCCGGAAGGGTCGTTGAGTCGTGCTGCTGCGCTTCAGTCTGCGCTCACCAAGGAGAGGAGAGAAATGAGGGAACAGCAGCAAAGAACAATGCTTGATTCAATCCCCAAGGATCTGAATCGTCCTTGGGAAGATCCTATGCCTGAAACTGGTGAAAGGCATCTTGCTCAGGAGCTGAGAGGTGTCGGATTGTCTGCTTATGACATGCCTGAGTGGAAGAAGGATGCTTTTGGAAAGACTCCTACTTTTGGACAAAGATCAAAGCTTTCTATCCAGGAACAAAGGGAGAGCCTTCCTATATACAAGCTGAAGAAGGAGCTGATACAGGCTGTGCACGATAATCAAGTTTTGGTTGTCATTGGTGAGACTGGGTCAGGGAAGACGACACAGGTGACTCAGTACCTTGCCGAAGCTGGTTACACAACGAAGGGAAAGATTGGGTGTACTCAGCCTCGTAGGGTCGCAGCAATGTCTGTTGCAAAGAGAGTAGCTGAGGAGTTTGGTTGTCGTTTGGGAGAGGAGGTAGGGTATGCGATTCGGTTTGAGGATTGCACTGGGCCAGATACTGTGATCAAGTACATGACTGATGGTATGCTTCTAAGGGAGATTCTGATTGATGAAAACCTCTCTCAATACTCTGTTGTAATGCTTGATGAAGCTCATGAGCGGACAATTCACACTGATGTGCTGTTTGGTCTTCTAAAGAAGCTCTTGAAACGCAGGCAGGACCTTCATCTGATAGTCACATCCGCCACATTGGATGCAGAGAAGTTCTCTGGGTATTTCTTTAACTGCAACATCTTTACAATTCCTGGGAGAACTTTCCCTGTAGAGATCCTGTATACCAAACAGCCAGAAAGTGATTACTTGGATGCAGCTTTGATCACAGTTCTTCAGATTCACTTGACTGAGCCAGAAGGTGACATTCTTCTCTTTTTGACGGGACAGGAAGAAATTGATTCTGCATGTCAGTCTCTGTACGAGAGAATGAAAAATCTAGGTAAAAACGTTCCTGAACTCATCATACTTCCTGTTTACAGTGCCCTTCCTAGTGAAATGCAGTCTAGAATATTTGATCCTCCTCCTCCTGGTACAAGGAAAGTGGTTGTGGCTACAAATATTGCAGAAGCTTCTTTGACAATAGATGGAATCTATTATGTTGTTGATCCTGGGTTTGCAAAGCAGAACGTGTATAATCCAAAGCAAGGTCTAGAATCGCTTGTCATAACTCCAATCTCACAGGCATCAGCAAAGCAAAGGGCTGGACGTGCTGGTCGTACTGGTCCTGGGAAATGTTACCGTCTCTACACGGAGAGTGCATACCGTAACGAGATGCCTCCTACATCAATCCCTGAAATCCAGAGGATTAATCTTGGAATGACAACCCTGACCATGAAAGCAATGGGAATCAATGACCTGTTGTCGTTTGACTTCATGGATCCACCTCAACCACAAGCGTTGATCTCTGCTATGGAACAGTTGTACAGCTTGGGAGCTTTGGATGAGGAAGGTTTGTTGACGAAGCTAGGTAGAAAAATGGCTGAGTTTCCTCTTGAACCACCGCTCTCTAAAATGTTGCTAGCGAGTGTGGATCTTGGGTGCAGCGATGAGATTTTGACGATGATTGCTATGATCCAGACGGGCAACATATTTTACAGACCGAGGGAGAAGCAAGCTCAAGCAGACCAAAAGAGGGCAAAGTTTTTCCAGCCTGAAGGTGACCACTTGACATTGCTAGCTGTATATGAAGCTTGGAAGGCTAAGAACTTCTCAGGTCCATGGTGTTTTGAGAACTTTATACAATCGCGATCACTTCGACGTGCCCAGGACGTGAGGAAACAGCTTCTCAGCATTATGGACAAGTAAGTATCTAAACTAAATTGACCTTAATTTTGTTCTGATTTTGATTCTATAACTAAACTAACATAGACCTTAAGCTTGTAACTGTGATACAAGTCGAGTCTCTTAAAGTCTGGTTTTGATCAAGTAATCTACCCAAACTAGCATTGACCTTAAGTTCGTTAGTGTGTAACAAGTCGAGTTAAAATGTGATTTTGATTAAGTAACTAAACTAAATTGACATTTAAGTTTGTTAGTGTGTGACAAGTCTTCTAACGTTTAATTTTGATGTTTACAGATATAAACTAGATGTGGTAAGTGCTGGAAAGAACTTCACGAAGATAAGGAAAGCAATCACAGCAGGATTCTTCTTCCAT